ACAGCCAGGACTCCGTCTGTTTCCCATGACAGCGTTCAGCATCTGAGGACAGGATTGATGGGCCCTGCCTGGAAGGTGGCCCGGTGACCAAGGGGAACTCACTGGGTTCGCCCCAGCGGCTCTCCCAGTCCATCAGCCTCAGGCACTGGTGCTGGGGCCCACAGCAGCTGAGGCTGAGTCCAGTCCCATTCTGTTTCTCTCAGCAGCCTGTGCACAGCCCTGTGTGCTCTGCTGCTAAACCTGCCCTGAACTGCTTGCTGCCCTCCCTCCCACAGCCAGCGGGCCTCAGTTGCCATCCTGTCTGTATCAGCGCGCCTCTCCCAACAGCTCCTGCTGCCCCATCCTCTCTCCCCTGCCATCTGATCCCTAACCAGTTTCTCAGCATTGGCACTGAGACAATCTATTTGATTCTGATTTATTTGTTTACTGAGCAGTACTGGAGATTGAACCCAGGCCTTCACACTGAGCTACATTCCCTCGTTTTTTGAGACAGGGTTTTACCAAAGTCTCTAAGTTGCCCAAGCTGGACTCTAAACTGTCCATCCTCCTGCCTCAGCCTCCCAGAGGGCTGGTATTACAGGAATGTGCCATCATGCCGAGCTAGATATTTTTAGAGTGGAAGTTCCATTACAGGGCTGTCTGGGCATTGTAAGATGTCAAATAGCATCCCTTACCTGTGCCAAGAGGTGCCAGCGGTACCCCTTCAGTCATGACAATCAAAAATGTCCCCAGACATTGCTAAATGTCTCCGGGGGGCAAAGTCACTGCAGGGTTATTTCTATCTCTGTGTCTCTATCTTTATTTTTTATGATATTATCGTTGTGTTGATTAAGAGGACAGTTTTCATTATGGTAGTGTATGAGTCAGGGCTCTCCAGAGAAATAGAACCAATAGGCTGTGTGTGCATATATATATAATTCTGTGATGGCTCCAAGCTCTGAAGGAGGCTCAGAGTGGATAAGAAATTTGCCTGAGGTTGGTACCAATAGCCTGAGATTTATGGCTCTGACGGCTAAAGTCGTCTAAGGAACCTGCTTCCAGGAGACACTTGTTGAGGCTACAGCTACTGGGAAGGAGGAAACAAAAACTGAGGGACTCTCCAGATGTCAGCATTGAGGTAACAAAATGTCATGAGAACGTTAAAATTAAAATTCTTAGAATTAATGGGAGTTTAGTAAAGTGCTGGTCGACTTGGTGTATATCCCAAAATCAGTTCTGCTCCTGGTTAATAGTAACAATCATGTGAATCATACTTAAAAATAGAGAGCTCATCCACAACAGGAACAAAAACAAAGCACCAGGAAATAAATGTGGCAAAAAGTGAGGTGCATGAATGCATAAACCTACTACACTTCACAAGGGGTTAGAAGACTCCGCCTTTGGAGATACGGTCTGTACATACCACCAACACTGTAAAATGTCCCTTCTGTGGAAGTTGGTTACAGGCTAAAATACTTCCTTTTCTTTTTCAGATCAGAATTAGGCATGTTTCTAAGCAAAAATTTCTAGAGTGCTTTCTGAGCTCACAGCACCTTCCAACACCTTAGAAGTAGAGAGTTGGTTGGCCAAGCACCAGTCAGTTCCAGTTCACTTTAGACTCAGCCACCTGTAACACTGAGGTGGTTTTTGCTTGGCTGTACCTGGGCACACTTGGATCCAAGCTAATTGATTTTTTTTAAAAAAACCTGTTTCACACTTTAAAAATATTAAATAAGCTACCTATCATAGGCTTAGAAACAGTTATAAAATGTGTACAGCTTAACCACTGACTGAATGAACACTGTTGTCCAACAGCAAGGACAGGCCCTTAGGAAGGGCCCAGGGTCTGCTGCAGGTAGCAGCCCTGTGCCAGGCACCATGGAAAAGTCACCTCCCTGTGTTTCCATGACAGAGTGGCTTCTGCCTTGGGGCAGAGATGGTGGCAGTCTTGGTCACAGAATCCTACTGCCTGATCACACCGAGTGAGAGGTCTTGTATTGATCTTATTCCCTTAGTGACTTATTAAGATTTTGTAACATTCCAGCCCAGAGGGAAACAGGTCTGGCGTGATGTAGTCAGCGTCCACCAGCCAGACACAGATGTAGATCCTCAGGCCCAGGCCGAGATCCTGACTTGGCAGGATTGGAATGAAGCTGGGAGGTGTGTGTGTGTGTGTGTGTGTGTGTGTGTGTGTGTGTGTGTTATAAGCAACACTTACAAGGTATTTGGGGTTTTTTTCAGTGCTGGGCATGGAACCCAGGGCCCTTTGCACACCAGGCAGGCACTCTGCCCCTATGGACCTTCAGCCCAGGGCTCAGTGCCCACTGCAGAGGTGCACAGCTGTGGAAAGAACCACCATTCAGAATAAGACACGAGCAAGCCCAGCACCCCAGCAGACTCCCTCTGTCCCTTCCTGAGGGGTGACAATGACACCTGCCCAGCCCCACACACACCACTCCTCTCATTTCTGTTGCCACACACAAGTCCAGCCTGTCCTCCGGCTTGCAGGGTGTGGAATCTGCCTGGATGCCCTGCTCAGCATGATGCTGATGAGATGAGTCCCCCGCTGCCTGTCTCCCTAGTTTGCCTCCTTTTATTGCTCAGTGTGGATAAACCACATTTGTCCCTCAGTCTTCCTGCGGATGGCTATCTGGGTTGGTTTAGGTTGGGGTGCTTTCGCACAGCGCTACTCAAATATCCTTAAACTACATCTTCGGGTGCCCAGGAACCCGGTTCTGTCTGTCGTGCACCAGGAGTGGGCGTGGTGGGTACAGGATGGGCTCATGTGTCACTGAGGCTGCCAGAGCTTCATTGTGGTGGCTGCTGCCAAACCGTGGAAATCCATACTTGGCGGGGGGTTTCAGATGCAGGTGACACCACTCTTTGGGAAGTGCTCCTTGGCTAAAAGCCCCCAGGCATGGGCAGACACGTTCCTCTCGGCTGAGGTTCCAGGCAGGTGGTGCAGGAAAGAGGAGAACGACAAACCTGTACAATCTTACCCCGAGGAATCATTGCAAGTTGCCACTTTTGCCTGATATAAAGAAGCTGAGAACAGGGAAGCAAGGATAAAGTTTGGGGAGGGGAGAAGCCAGGCCCCACCCGAACTCCAGCGGAGAGCTAGAAGGATGCTCATTATTAGGAGAAGGGAGCTTTGGGGAACTAGGTTATCCCTGCAGGGAGCGCCCATCTCCCCAACCATCGAAGACCAGATAATTGCAAAGCACTTTCCTGTCAGCCCAGGCTCCTGACAAAGGCAAAGAGATCAAAGGGCTGGCTCTCCTCCCGCTGGGCCCAGCAGGTCTGTCCCTTTCAGCCAACTTTTGAGTGTTTTAAAACAGACCCAGCCAAGAGTTTCGCTTCAGTGTGCATCCATTTAGCTATAAATGTCTCTAATTTCTCATTTTTTTAAAGTGAAATCAATAGGACACACATGCATAAATACCGAATAGTTTCTCTGGTGTGAGAAACTGAAAATGTAAATGAGGACTAAAATGTATAATAGATAATGTGAAATAGGAAGAAAAGGGGCAAAGGGGAAGGAAGCGGGAGGGCTAGGAGAAAGGATAGAAGGGAATGGGATTGATATGAGAAAATGGAAAAATAGGAACAAAATCTTTGTAAATAAGGAGGAATAGAGGGGTTGAAGGGAGGGCAGGGCAAGGGTGAAAAATAAGAACCAAGAGAGACTATGTAAAGGTGCAAATTTCCAATGATGAATGTTATTATATTGTATACCTAAAATGTACCAATGATAATGTAAAATAGGAAGAAAAGGTCCAAAGGGGTAGGGGTAGTGGGAGGGGTAGGAGAAAGGAAAGAAGGGGAAGGAAAAATGCTGAGAAATGGAAATAAAGTCTTTGTAAATAGGGAAGGGTGGAGGGGGTGAAGGGAGGGCTAGGAATGGGGAAAAAATAAGAACCAAGATGCATTATGTAAAGGTACAATTCCCAATGAGGAATGTAACTGTGTTGTATACCTACAATGTACCAATAAAAGAATTTAAAAAAAATAAAAATAAAAAAAATAAAACAGACCCAGCCAGTTCCCCTAGGCCAAGGCTGGGAGCCAGCACTGCCTGGAGCTTGGAGGCACAGAGGAAGGGGCTGCTGGCCTGCGGGCTCAGGCTGGGCTTCCTCTCCCCTGTTACCCAGCAGCCTGGCTCGGCTGCCTGCCCGGATCTGAAGCTGCTCTCTGCTAGTCTCAGTGGGCCCTGCAAGCGGGAACCTGATGTAAGACCGAGGGCCTTACCAAATGCTCCGAGGAGCTGAAGTGGAGCACACCCGGGGATCCCAGCGGTGCCTCCAGAATGTAAGACCAAAGGCCTGACCAAACGCTCCGAGGAGCTGAAGTGGAGCACACCCGGGAAGGAACACACCGGCCATGTTGGGAAACAGACCTTTATTAGTCTGGCCAGACGGCACTCCCGAAGCAAAATAGCTCAGAGAGGCACCTGGCTCAGAGTCCGAGGTTGTTTTATAGGGGGTTAAGGCGGGGGTTAACATGTGGATTCACAGAAAAAAAAAAAGAACAAAGGTTAGTGGCTCATTGTCACATGCTGATGTTCAGCAGACATCCTGATTGACAGTTACGACCACCCTGTTTACAGATTGTCCTATAGATACTGGGCCCCAGGACATTTGGATTTAGGGCAAACAGATGGCTGAGTAACCTCGCCCTATTACTGATCGTCCATTGTCCCGAGGCAAACACACTCCAACCATCAAATTTACAACAGAATCTAGGGGAGTAATTAACTTTTGAATCACACAGTCCCACACTGAGAGCTTCAGAAGGGGAGGAGGGCCGCGAAGGCCGGGCAAGGGAGAGTGCTCTGTGCCCGGCTCCAGGGCTGCGGACGCGTGGCCCCACCCGAGACCCCACTGCAGGCTGGATCTCAGTCCTCGGGCTCCCGCGGCCCCTGGACGTCCTCGGCCGCAGGGGGCGCAGGCGGAGCAGCGCTGCTCTCCTAGACTCTTCTGCTCCAGAAACGGAGCAAAATGCCAGGCGCCTGTACCCTGTACCCCTCTGAGCTGCATCCCGGAGGCCAGGCGAGGGGCTGCTACACAGAGGGCGAGCAACAAGTACTGGCTGAGAGGGAGCGAAAAAGAGACCACTGGGAACATTGAAGCTAAAAGTACCTGAAAAACAGCAGGTACAGGATCACTCTGAAACCTCGTGACTTTCCTTTTCTTTTATTGTTCTCTGTCTCTCTCTTCCTTCTTTCCTTCTTTCCTTCCTTCCTTCTTTGTTACCAGTACTGGGGATTGAACCCAAGCTTTGCCCTGAGCTTTATCCTCAACCCATTTCTTGTCTTTTATTTTGAGACAAGGTCTTGCTAAGTTGGCCGGGCTGGGTTCAAACTTGAGATCCTCCTTCCTCGGCCTCCAAAAGTGCTGGAATTACAGGCTGCACCCCATATCCAGCTCGTGACATTTCTTTTCTTTCTTCTTTTTTTGGTACGGGGATCGAACTCAGGACTTTGCACTTTCGAGGCAGGCGGCGGCACCACTGAGCTAAATCTCTGCCCCCCCCCCCCGACATTTCTTAAAAGCAGAAGATGAAACTCCCACGGGAAAGATGTGAAACCCATTCCTCAAAGATGACAGTGCTAAGAGGGAGATGGGAGTGCAGTCTGCCACCCCTGCTAGGAAATGTATGAGCGAATAAATGATTGAGTGAACTTTAATGAATGAACAAAGAAGTCAAATATTCAATTCATGTTTTTTAAAAAGTAAACTAATCTATTAAGAGCGCAAAGTTGTGAGGCTCTTCTGCCTAATAGCAACAGCAATCTGGCTCTTTAGAAATGAAAAGCAGTCCTTCTCTGAGTCAGCAATGTCTGGAGACATTTTGGGCTGTCACACCTAGGGCAGGGGAGCTACTGGCATGTAGCAAAGAGACGGGGGCTGCGGCTAAACATCCTGCGCTGTCCAAGACACGCCCTGCCAGTAGTGCTGAGGCCAAGGGAGCTGCTCCCATGTAGGGGCTGCATGGGGACTTCGGTGGGGCCGGCACTGCCGGCTGCAGACTGCTGGCAGCAGAAGGTGCCACTGAGACATTTACTCTAATTCAAAGCAAAGATTTGAAAATTAAAGTGGACAGTGCTATGGTTTGGATTTGAAATGCTCCTTAAAACCCACGTGTAAAGGCTGAGTGATGGTCTTTTGAAGAAGTGATTGGATCCTGAGGGCTCTAACTTCATCAAGTGGATTAACCCGTTGACAGGATCACAATTTGATGGCATTATTGAGAGGCAATGGAAACAGAAGGCGAGGCCTCGTTGAAGGGAGTAGTTCATGCGGTATCACCTTGGAAACTGTATCTGCTCCCCAGCCCCTTCTCTGGCTCTTTCCCATTCTCTTTCCTTCTCAGTTGCTGTGCTATGAGCAGCTCTCCTCTACCACACCCTTCCATCATGATGTTTCTGCCTCGCCTCAGGCCTAAAACAATGGAGCAGCTGACCATGGACTGAACCTCTAAAACCGTGAGTCTAAATGAATCATCTTTCAAGTTGTTTTTTTTTTTCAAGTGTTTGATCACAGTAATGAAAAGCTGACTGATATAAGGACCATGTAGTTTTATAAATTATTTCAGCAAAAGCCTAAGAATTGGTACATCTGTGTTGTGGGAAGTGAGGGAGTGGGTGGGTTTCCTACAGAATGTATCAACTCATCCCCAAGATGCATTTTTATCTTGCGGCTGAGACAGCAGTAACAGTGGCAATGCTCACAGGCCAAACGTGGTGCTTTGTGGTCAGGAGTCAAACCTGAGTATTGACTTCATGTTTGATGATGACTACTTTGCAACCTTCATATCACTAATGTAGTTTCCGACTTCATGAACTAGATGTTAAAATGGAAAGGAAAAGGGGAAGAAAAGAGGGACAGAGAAAGGAAAGATGGAAGGGAATAACAGAGAGAGGAAGAGAGGAGAGAGGAAAGGCAGGCATTAAAGAGGCAGGGCTGTCAAAAATCCAACTTATTTGAGGCACATAAATGGGGCTTTGTGTACCACATACAAATCAGGGTAATCTAGAATTCAGATGACAAGGTGTGTTGTCCCTGAAAGGCATTTAGTGCCATGCCTTCAATGCCCCCATTGCGTTCCCAAGACTTTAATCAAATCACGGGGACCTTGTAAGTGGACAGGGACCAAAATGTTCAGATAAGTATTGTCTGAGGGACCCTGGAAACTAGGCAGATTAGTATTATCTGTAGAAATTCCCTTCCTGCCTGTAGGTTTAGTCAGTTGTTTTTTTGAAATTCTGGTCATACAATAAGACAGAGAAAGCTAGTGATGTCACTATTGCGTAGATTATTCCAGGTAACACCCTCCGGGTAATAACTGAGTGGGACACGTCACAGTGGAGGCTGTAGGCCAGCTGGCCATTCCTGGACTCTTCCAGTACTCTGGTGATTTCCCTGTCTGCTCCACCACCCCCAGACTTTCCAGTGATTAACGAGGCCACCATCTCTGGGGCCTTTCCATATATTCTGGGGACTTTCCTGTCCAGCCTCCCCCACCGGACACTGTCCTTTACTGCTAGTAAGTCTCAGTTAGCCGTACCTTTTCCTTTTGGTACTGTACTAAATCTTATCCCTCACAAGCAGCCTCAGGGTGTTTTCTTCCTTCTCTCAGTGATCTACCCCACTATTCAGGCACACCTGGGCTGTTTCTCTCTGGAGCGCTCTCAGATACGTGATCTTTCCCAATCCCAAAGTGCTTTTTAAAATGAAGTCCCTTTGGGGTGCTATTTAGACTAATTTGTGATCTGATCGCAAGAAGGCGAGCTGGTGATTCTAACTCACCTGCCGATGAGATGTTTCCCATCTTCATCTGTAAAGTGTTTATCTTGCTCTCCATGGACCATATTGATGGCTCCAGGCAGCCCGTGTTCCTTACGATCTTTTTTTTTTCCAGATACGTGATATGACCTTCTGTGAAGGTTGTATTAGGTTGAACTTATTTATTTTTCTACAAGAGTACAGATCCCAAGTTACCCTCTTGATAATTCCATGCATTTGGGCACCAATCTCCTGCGTAATAAATCGTCCCCAAATCGAGTTTCCCCGCACCTCACCACTCCCTGTGGAGCACAGGGGCCGGCGTTGAGACCATTTTTCCATCAAGGCTCAGGGTGTGTGATTAGCTTGTCCAAGATGACCCTAGATGAGAAACAGATGCAGGCTGAGAGCCACCTGCCTGCTCACTGCTTTTCTCACCAGGTAGCAGCCACCTCTGAGGCAGCATGCTTGGGACCCCCGTGTCCAGTGTTGAAGGGGCAACTCTGTGAGTATCTGCTTATTCTGAGCCTACTTTGCTTGAGGGCTTCTTTGCTCCCTCAAGGCAAGTCCTGCAGTAGCTTCCCTTGGGCACAGGAGGAGACTGGTCCAAGTGCATTGTGTCCTACCCACCAGGGATACCTGGCTGTGAACCGAAGCTTCTCGAGCCACCTCCAGCACTCTGGGTAGTGCCAGCCTCTAAGCCTTGCTTCACTGCCATCTCACAGCCTGTGCCTGCAGAGGGCAAGGACGGCGCTGTGCTGACCAAGCCCACCAGTATCTGTGAAGACCTCTGGTTCTGTCCTATGGCTGCTGCATCAGCTGACCCTGTGCAAATCTTCCCTTTTAAAAGATATGCGCTGGAGTGGCCATTGTACCAGACCAGATGTGCAATCACTAAACACTGCAGCAGAATCTAAATGAAAAGACCCAATCCAAGGTCCCTCGAGCCAGCCTGCCCCACGGACAGGAAATGAACTTTCTGGTCCTGGAGTTCATAAAGTCTTAGAATTTGGGGATTATCTTGTCCCAAGTGCTTCTTCCCCTTTCAAAATTAGTTCCTTATTAAGAATTAATTAAAGGAACCATATGAATTTATATTAGTATTCACTAATGATGAACAAAATACTAATATGTACTTAAATTACTTGTGTAATAGTAATCAATAATTAAAGTGATAGTAAATTAATCCATCAGGCCTCTCCTATTAAGAACCCTTTGTGATGACAAGGTAAAGAGTAGGGTGATACTTAGGTGACCCAAAATTTAAACCTCAAAAGTGAAAAGCACCCACATTGCTTCTAACACCAATGCTTCTAACACACCAATGCTTCTAACACCCATCATTCTCTGACAAGTGTCTAACTGGTGGCGTCCCTTGAAATTGTACCTCTTCTCAGTCCCTGTTTGCTAGTCGCTGCTCATTAGGATGCTCATAGTCCCTGATTGTAGACAGGGTGATGTGAGCCAGAGGTAACCAGAAGTCAGAAGACAGAAATCTAGGGTTAGATCCAAGAATGGAAAAAACATTAGAAATTCTTGTTAAGAATCATTTACTTCTGGGCCGGGGATTTAGCTCAGTGGTTCCGCTGCCTGCCTCGCAAGCACAAGGTCCTGAGTTCGATCCCCGGTACCAAAAAAAAAATCATTTATTTCCATAGGAAGATGGATGGATGTATAGGATCCAACCTGCAAGTTTATTGCTGACAGGGGGTCGAATGAGGACTGAAGACAAAAGACACAGAGATCATGTGGAAGAGGAGGCACTTGGGGCTTTCCCGCAATGGACAGTGAGCCCCCAACTGACAGTGCTCACTTGTATTAGACTCGCACAAAGAAGAAACACAGGAGCATGTGATCCAGGGTTCCGGGAAAGTTCACCAGGTTCTCATAACTGGCAGTCTGTACCTGGATGTGTATGTTCTCTCATCAGACTTGGGCTGTAGTTGTTTCTTTCCTTGAAACTGGCTGATGCCAGCATGCTAGCGAACAGCCCAAGGGGGGAAGGGCTTGCTATCCTCTTCCAGCGTCTCAAGGAGAGCTCAACTCAGGCCTCATCTCACAGCTGCTTTCCCACACTGACGCCTCCAAGTGAGAACGCTGGATGATACGAAAGGCCGAAGGGGATGTCGTGGAGAGGAGCCACCTCGCTCCTGTGGGAGAACCGACACCAGAGCCCAGACACACTGAAGGTGGTCACAGGGAAACAGGAGGACACCGGTGTGGTTTTGGAGTCACTGAACTGCGTAAAGCTGGAAACTGACCTGGAAAGGAGGTTGCATGCAGGGGCCAGTGACTCCAGTGCACAAGGAAAACAGCAGAACCTGGATTTGACCAACTGCCCGTGGCACACCTGCACGGCCACCTCTGAGGCGAGCTCCTGCCACCCCTGGTCTGCTCCAAGCTATGGAGCAGGAGCTGTTTGTACAGTAGTCTCACAAGGCAGCCATGGCCAGACCCCCAGGAAACCCAGAATGACAACCCAGCCTGGTGGAACCCAAAGGACTCCCTCTGGAAAGGCCAAACAAGACAGAAACTGGTGGTGTTGGGGGAGACCCTGCACAGAGACAACATTTACAAAGCGCACAGTAACAATACTTGTGTCACTGTGACAGAATAAATAGACAATTGCTTAAAAAAATAAACCTTGCCCGGGCTATTTTCCAGGAACCTCACATCCAGAGAACACTTTGGATTGAGAATGCATCATTCTCAGCCTCAAGGGCCCCCCTGCTCCAGGAAGTCCACTCTGATTCCCCAGCCAGAGATGCTCCTCTGAGTCCCCTCGGACTCCACAGGCCCCTCTGGGACATTGTCACCAATCCTCACACCCTATCAGTAGTCAGACACCTCCTCTGAGTCCTGTGTCCACAGCGATCACTACTGCGTGCGTTTACTCAGTGTTTGCCAGTAACTCTCACACCTGCTGTAGCAACAATAAAGCCCAACATCTAGAGGGTTGACACGGGGACAAGCCCTGCACTAGAGCTTCCTGTGACCCCTACTCAGCAGTGGGAGATGAGTGCGACTTTCACGTCTCACGTCCGCTCCACAGATGTAAAAGTCGACACAGCTATTGTAGACTGCTGAATGTTCCCGACACGCGTTCTATTCTTTTTGCTTTCTGTATACGTCAGCATAGGACAGGCTTTGCTCAGGTAACAAATAAACAACAAAACCTCAGCGGATTAATGACATTGGCTTTATTTCTTGCTCACACCACAGTTGGCTTTGAGTCTGCGGCCCTTGTCCATGATAAGGCCAAGTCTTTCTGGAATGTTTGCCCTCCGTGCCCAGGGCTGGAGAAGTGAGTTTGGAGGACATACCCTGCTGTTAATTGCCTTGTCTGGAGGTGACCCCCACTCCCTCTCATGGCCCCAGGGCCCCAGCCATACTGGAAGGAGTCTGCGACACACAGGACTGTGCTAGCTTCCCATCACTGTGAAAAAACACTGTGAAAATCATCTTAAAGGAGGAAAGGTTCATTTTGGCTGACAGTTTCAGCCCATGACTGGCTGGCTCCATTGCTTCCTGTGGGGAGGCACAACATCATGGTGGCGGAGTATGTAGCGGAGGAGGCTGCTCACCTCATGGTGGCCAGGAAGGAAAGGAGGGAGGGAGGGAGGAAGGGAGGCTCCAATAAACCCTTCAAGGGCACCTCCCTGCCCACCTACTAAAGGTTCCACCAACCTCCCAGGAGCACCACAGGCTGGTGGCCAAGCTTACAGCACAGGAGCCTTTGGGGTCGTTCCAGACCCAAACCCTAGCAGGGACCAGTCCATGTTGGGTGGGATACTCTGGCTCTGCCAGTTCTGTTCTGAGTGGTAGTGTGTCCTGCTAAGACACCATGTTTTGGGTCTCCCATGCTCCATCAGCAGTCATCCAGGAGAGTTTTCCTTCCCCACACTTACACCACCCCTTCCTCCTCCATCCTTCCTTCTTCAGCTTCCTTTTCAGAACACAGATACAGCATTGGAGAGAGAGGGCAGCCACACTTGAGTGAAGAGGAAGCCGCATGAGAATGAGAGATACAATTTAAAGATGGTGGAGCCCAAGAACCAGAGTTGGGACAAGGAAGTCTCCTGGAGCCGTGCTCAGTGCTGCCCCCACAGCTGAGACACTGTGATTGCTCTCTCCTGCTGGGGACCTGAGAGCAGCTGCCAAGGGAGCTAGGACCCAGGACCCAGGCCTCTGCTCCTGTTGGGATGGCCAACAAGAGGCTTCCCTGTACCCACTCCCTATTCCTGGCCACTGGTTTGAGCTCCTTCCCTTTTCCCTCAGGCTTGGGGTGGGTAGCAGCTTTCTCTTGAGCTACTTTGTGCTTTACCACCCCTTCCTGGTCTTCTAATCCTACCCAGACCATTCCTGATGGTTCCTCCATTCAGCCATCTGCACCCTAGCCTTTGAGCTGCCATGTGGTTCATGGCAAAACAGATCTGTCTCCCTACGTCTTCTACCCTTTGGTCTTCATTCTGCACTCTGGAAGAATGAAGACCTTCCATTGAAGTTTCTGTGCCAGGCAGACTTAATTTCATGTCTAGATTCTATTATGCTAAGGAGTTCAATCATGTGCCTACAATTACCCAGCTGATATTTCCCAGTTTTGGCATCTGTTATGTGGGGATAATACCAGAATTTCAGGGGACTATTGTGATTCAACAAAGTCAGCAAAACAAAACCAGGGAAATCTGAACTTCAGATCAATGAATAATTTTTGCTGTAACTATTTGTGCAATGTTCATACTTTAAAAATAGCATGGTGTTTATCTGAGATACAGATGTAACTGGGTGTTCTGTATCTTCCCGGGAGCTCCTGTAACTGTGAGGTACACGTGGCTCCCCTCTGCCCACACACATTCTCTCTCCTTAACCTCCAGCGAATGGTAGCAGCTAATCTTAATCCCTGCATTCCTGCCCTTAACACAGTACTTGACATCCTCTCAAAAACAGCAAAATCACTGAAAAACAAAGTGAATGAACAGAGGAACTGAGAACCGGGGGGAGGCAATTTGTGAGAGGCAGGAGATGCTCAGTTGGAAAGTGGCAAAGTGTCTAGAACTTCTAGCCAATGTTCCACACATCACATTAAAGATTTTTATTTATTTATTTATTTGTTCATGTATTTATTTATTTATTGCAGTGCTGGGGATCAAGCCGAGGGCCTTGCATGTGCTAGGTGAGTGTTCTACCATTGAGGTATATTCTGATTTTTAAATAAAGGAATAATTAACACTACAGTAGTCATAACTAAACTGCTCTTCGGTGTGATGGGTTAGGACAAGAATGGGTTTGTTTTTTCTTGGGAATTTTTTCCCCTTTAACTAAAAAAAGGATCTTTAAAGAGTAAAAGTTAGAATCTTTCTGGAACTAAATACTCACCGGCACATTCGAATTTTTTTAAGTTCTTTTTTTAACAATTTACAATTAGCACTGGCAATTGTGGGGTTTTTTTCCCACTTACTTTTTATTGGTTATACAGATTAATGGGTCTTACTTTGGCAGATTTGTACATGCACATTTACAAAATTCTATGATAAGAAGTTATTGCTTTTAAAAGATGGTCAAATACAACAGTTGCCAAACTTCTTCAGTAAAACTATTTTTATATATGAAAGCTTACCCAGAATCCCAATTTTAAAATGTTAAGCAAGATATTTTATTTAAAAACAGAATGCTGGGGCCGGGGATTTAGCTCAGTGGTTTCGCTGCCTGCTGTGTAAGCACAAGGACCCGCGTTCGATCCCCAGTACTAAAAAATAAAAATAAAATAAATAAATAAATAAATAAAGATAGAATGCTGTAAGCTGAAATATGTAATCAGTGTAAATGGTGTACAACTTGAAAAACCCAAGTTTAAATTGAAGACTATATATTTATACTAGCATTTGCAATTTAATATCATGCTTGTCTCATCGTCATTTGTAGTTTTCTATCAGAAAAATTTCATGTCAATTCCAGCAATCAAACATTTCTGCATTTTGCTTTAGTTGCAGAGTAATGAGAAAACCATGGCTCATGCCGACGAACTCTTGCAAATGATGAGATTTTTTAAAACTTCACCTTGCTAGCTAAGGATACTGTTAACAGAGGCATCGACAAAACTCAGGCTACCAGATTTCCCCCAAAGCAACTCAAGCTTAGCAAGGCGAATGACTGTGTTTCAGGTGTGTTAGAATTTGGTCTGTGTGCAGGTCGCTTTCCCTCTTTGGAATAACAGAGCCTTGGACGTGTGTTTCCACCCCGACTGCAGCTGCCCAGGTAGGGAGGCGTGTTCACGTGATGAAGGGGTCCCCAGGAAATAGCTGTGTGCGCGCGAAGAACGCCCGCCGGTGTGTCTTCTCCACGCTTTCTTCTTCCTTCTGGAGGGAGGAACCAAGAGGTGGAAGCGAGTGCAGAAAGCACTTGGAAGGGAAGCCCTGTGGGAAGCCCTGAAGGACAGACAGACTCAAGGACTGGAATCTTCATTTGCAGGTGTGCTAGCGTCCTCACAGTTAAGGACATCACAGCGAAATGTGGTGATCTGAAGAAATGTGTCTTTGATAGTGTGTGATATGTGTCAAGAGGTGAAAGATCTGGCTGACTTAGTGAACCATTGTTTTAGAAATAATCAGAGACTGTTACGAACTTTGCATGGATAATAGATGTATCCAAAGAGGATTTTAACCTAACCTGAGAACCAAAAGTCCCTTCACAAGGTTTCAGATTCCACACTGCAATTCACCTGTTACAAGTTTCCAGTAGTCGAGATCCGGTATAGTGTGAAAGATGGATTTCACAACTCTGAAATGTGTGTAAAACCAGATTTTCTTCACTTACTTCAACTGAAACAGTGTATCAGAGACAGGAGAAGCCAGACATGGGAGATTATTTTCCAAAATGTAAACTGATGCCACTTTTCTATTTTCTTTTTGTTTTGGAAAGTAATTTTCGTCGAAGTGAGCTATGGTAACAAATGTTAATTTTTATTTAAAACAAATTTTGTCATTTTTAAATCATCTCTTCACTCAGTAAAGTCACAGGCCTTTTACTTACATGTCCTTTGGTCCACATTGAAACAAAAACTACATTACTATTTACCTTTTTTTGCTTGCTTTTCCACATCTGTACGTAATCATGACCTCTTGGGGTCTTTGTAATCTGCAGGCAATCAGGAGCATCACCGTGGCCAGTCTGCAGCACAAAGGGCTCCCAGCTCTCAGATCCACGCAGGACACACTGGACTCTGACAGGCTTGGGGTTGCTCACCGGGCACTTTTACCGGGGATAAACCCGCGACCCATATGTTTATACCCAGTTGATTGTCTGGTGACCTGCAGCCGTAATCATGGACTCCTCGTGGCTGCGATGCAACTGTAACATTTCTTTACATTCAGCTTGCACACGCACAGATGCACACTTCAGAGACTGGCGGAAGTGTTTAGTGCCTGGTGCTGGAACATAAGCATTGGAGACGGGCAGCACTGGGATGGAAACACTTTGAAACCCCAGAGGGCCATAGGGGTTGGCAGTCCTCCTGCTGGTCTTCTCTATCTTACCAAGCGGTCTGTGTCAGGGTTGGGGAGAGAATCCAAGATCCCCAACTTGCTCCAGCTGTGTTCCCCTTGCGCTGCTTCTTCCAGAGTGGGATCCAGGTCTCCATGTGGCCCCAAGCTGCCAAGGGCCCTCCAGTGGCCCTCACCTGACACTGCTCACTGATACTGGGTGGCCAGTGGGGTTGCCTGAGATTCCACACTGACCTGAGCTGCTCTGCAGGAGGAGCAGGCTGAGAGCAGGCTCACTCCTGTCTTCAGTGGAGCTGGAGAGCGGGTCCCCACCGCTTCCCTCCCCAGTGCCTGCTTTGGCACCAGGGCGCGGGATCCCAGGTAATGAGCAAACTGCTGCCCACACCCTTCTGTCCAAGGATGAAGAGGTGGCATTTCACTTTCTAGTTTTCTTCTGAGGTTTACCTGTGTACACAAATACCTCCTCCCCGAAACGAGTGAAGACCTTGGGTGTAAGTCCCTTGCTAGTACACGTCTGCAGTACGTTTACACTTGAGTGGAGTTGGTAAATGTGCATATCCTAATTCCTTTTTTTATCCTCTCTCCCCTCCCTCCATCTCTCAACCCACTTCCCATTTGAGAAACATCTATCTCCCTACCTCCTATTATCTTTTATTTTGCTCTTTATAATTTGAGTTTCTCAGAGGAGAAACCATGTGGTATTTAAGCTTGTGTCTGATTTCACTTAGGTCCTTTTTTTTTGGTACCGGGGATCAAACTCGGGACCTTGCGCTTTCGAGGCAGGCACCGGAACCACTGAGCTAAATCTCCGGCCCCAACTTAGATCCTTTTTAAAAGCCTCCAGTTTTGTTGAGTGAAGAAATGAGATTGCTTCCTCCCTGTGGACCTTCTAAGCCTCCCTCTTAAAATCATGAACCTGTGGTATTTCCCATAAATGGGGTCACTCTATATACACTATTCTGAGTTTTTAATCATATATTTTGAAAACTATGATAGTTTCAAAAAACTCAGTATTTAAAAAATTAGGAAAGGGGCTGGGGATTTAGCTCAGTGGTTCTGGCGCCTGCCTGGCAAGCGTAAGGTCCCAAGTTCGATTCCTGGTACCCCCCACCCAAAATAGGATGTGTCAAATATACCTATACATCCTTTGGTCTGGTACATGTTGAGTGTCTGTGCTGTTTGTTGTATTTTTTGACTTTGTGGTGTTTTTCCCCCTTCAATGCAGATTTAAAATATTTATGTAATCAAACGTTCAGTTCTTTATTCTTTCCTTCTTAGAAACACCACTCTCAGCGTGAATGAATTAACCCGTTTCTTCTTGCATGGTTCCATTTGCTAACAATCAAAATTTAGTCTGGTGTAAGGACAGGACAAACACGTATTTTTTAGAGTGCTGCCCAGTTTTATCAACACCACTTTGGGTATTTGGTTTGGCCACTGATGTGAAAAGCAGCTGTCCCAAACCCAAGTACTTAGCTCTGTGGTGGCCCCAGCATTTTTCTTCATTCTGTAGCCCTTTTAAACAGGAACTGTAAAACCCAATCTGATTAGGCCCTTAGAAAGGGGAAAGATGATTCTACTGGGAGTGTAACCTCACCATGTTCTTCCCATCCAGAAACAGGGCCTTTCACTTTGCAATGAACTCTGGATACTTGGGAGTTTGGTTGTCAACACATACATGTTACTCCTTCCTCAAAGGCAGTAACAGGAAGGCCATAGTCTCAAGCAGCTAGACATCTGGTCTCAGATTTACAGCTAATTGATAAACTGAGGCAGGCCCAAAGAAGGAAGGGGTGGTCTGGCAGCAGGGACAGGCGGGGTCCTGGAAGCTGGGCTCATTCTCCGAGGCTGGCTGCACACGTGACCGTGCCCTCCCGAGCTGCAGGCTGGTGAGACCCGAAGCCAGGACGGTCCCCCACCCCCATGCCCCACCACACAAAGCCAGTGCTCCACAATGAAGAGAAAAGGTATTTAATTATTTCTCAATCTAATCTCTTAAAGCGCTCAAAGTGTTTTCACAAGTGCAAGGGGGAGGGATTGTTCTCAGCCAACATTTACCAGTGATTCCAACACACGCAAAAAAACTCCAAATCACGGTGCTTTATACTTTTAATTTCTGCACTGAAAAAGAAAACGCAGGTAAAAACAACGACAGATTAGATTACAGTGACTGCATCTTTGCCCTTAAATTAATCTTTGCTTTTGGGGGCAGAGACAGGAAAACACCAAGCACAATGATGGGGACCAGGACACCTCGATCCGGTGTCAGGAATCTGGACACCTGGACACGGTGCTGCTAGTGGCCAGCTCGGGAACATGAACAGGCAACAGTTAAAGGTACATCAAAAAGAAAGAAAAAAATCCCACGACTCCATTCTTAAAACCAAGCACAAAGTCTGACAATGAAACATCCAGGGCTGACCGTGTCCCTGCCAGAGCTGGGGCGGTTCCCGGAGCAGCACCTGGGCAGGGCTCACCAACACCTGCTCTGCACACAACTTGGGCCCAGCTGCCACATCGCCTTCTGGAGCAAGGACTTGCTGTCCCGCAAAAGGGTACCTGTGGCTCCCTGCCTTCCCAGCCTCCGGAGAGCAGCTGCCTCGGGGTGGGGGGTGAGGGGCCGGGGCTCTGTGCTTTGGAGGCTGAGGCCTCTGGAATGTTCCCCATTCTCAAGGTCTGGCTGGGCTGTAGGTTTTAGTTATGCTCCACACGTTGTTTAAGTGCTCGCTTTATTTTTCATGTGCAAATTGTTACTGTCTAAAGCTTTCAGAAGGACGTGTACAGACATGAGCACCCTGCAGAGAGACGAGGGTACCCCGGGCCCTCCTCCCTCCTGGGGCGGGGAGGGGCGCGTTACAGAAACGGTTAGAGATTTATGTTCCGCGGCAGTTCCGTCTAGTCCCTGAATAGGTCCGGTCCCTGGGGCGGGCGGGGCATCCTCAGTAGGTGATTGTCCACTCCTTGACAGAGGCATCGTGGGAGGTTGTAACCAGCGTGTGCTCGTCCAGCCAGGCCAGGCTGCTGACGTGGTGCAGCCGGTGTGCGTCTGGGAAGAAAGCAGAGTAAGGACATTTCCGATCTCTCTGTTCCTATGAAGCATGACTGAAACAGTCACAAGGTGCCCAAATCCGGTGAATAAGGCGGATGTGGACACAACGCCATTCTCACAAGCCCGGCTTTCCACTGGATGGAACCAGCAGCAGCATGATCACATGCGGTGAAGACCCTCATGAAACAAGGCTTCCAGAACAACTTCAGAAAGTGGCTCGAACAATGGGATAAGGGTGTGGGAAATGAGGGAGATTTTGAGGGGATTCACAGAAGTCTTAAACATTCACTAGTTTGATCACACCTCTGTGTACACCTGGGACTAACAAGAGGGAGTCACTCGGGCCTGTATCAAACAGGCCCCGGAGACTGGCCACAGGGGGCTGTTAAGCAGACAGGGGCAGTGTGCTCTTTCACAGGCCCGCTGCGCTCTCAGGAGGACGGGGCAGCATTGCAGGCTCCTGGCCCGGGTACTGACCTGGCGGCCCCTCTCCAGGCCCCAACACCACCACCAGCCACCCCGTCCAAGGGGGTGAAAGATTGCTTTCTTTCTAGGTACGAAGCAACAACACTCAGGCACAAACAGATACACAATTGGCCCAAGTGTCTGCAGGCTCCCACCTGTGGACTTCACCAGCTGAGGACTGAAAATGCGGGCTGTGCGTGCTGAGCATGGAGACAGTCACTGCTTCCTAAGCCACAGCAACAGCTGCTCACACGGCCTTTATCTGTGCTGCTGTCAGCCAGTTGATGCACACAGGAGGATGTGTGCAGTTGATTCCCAAAATCTATGCTGCTTTATACCAAGGGACTCGGGAGGAGGTCCTGGAGCCCAACGCCCAGGACCGTACAGTGTCTCGGGTATTCAGATGAAGAGGTGGGGATGCAGCACTGGTGAACGGCTGAGAGCACAGGGTTGAGGACTCAGTCTTCCTTTCCCTAGCAAACCACATGCTGGTGCCCGGATTCCCGATTCCCTATCACCTCTGCTCTGTCCGTGCTCAACTCTGACAATGAGCCTGCACCTCTATGGTCTCCTCTTCGCTGGCCCCTCCTGTGAAGCCAAGGCGCCCCCTGGTCCAGGATGGGGAGCCTTGTCTGCTCTCTGCTCTCCCAGCTGATGCCAGGAGCCTCAGGCATCAGGGGGCGCATGGGCGTCAGAAGCTGGGGCTCCTAAAACCACCAACCTCTGCACCTCACCACCACACTTTCTGGGTGCAGGGCTCATCCACAGCTCGGGGGCCGATGGGCAGTTCCCGCCCTCAGCGCAGATGCGGGCGGGCCCTGGCCCCAGCACCAGCTCCACACCACTGGCTCCTGCGGGTTACTTCCCAGCCCCAGTCACCGATTCTCTGCAGGACTGGGTTTCTGTACAGACCAGTGTGGCCCCTGGGAGCCTGCTCAGGCCGCCCACCCTGAACTGGGGGCACAGCCCAGCTGCGCCCCTCCCTGCACTCTGGTGGGGCTGCTGAATCCCTTCTACCCAGGAAAGGCCGCCTCCTGTGTGCAGAGCATGTGGAAGGGACAAGCCTGCAAGGGGGACCTGGCAGGAGTGGAGGGGAGATAGGGAGGCGTGGGAACAGGTGACAGGAACCAGCCCCCCGAGGGCTACCGGCCGCACGCCTGCAGACCCCTGGAAATGAGCCCCCGCATGGGTGACGTGAGGAGATGCTGGGTGAGGTCAAATGTACCATCAAAGAGCACTTAACTGGTTTCTTGCTAAAATGTGGTGCTGTCTCCATGGCCCCAGCTGGCCACCCAGTGGGCAGCAACGGCACAGGGAGCGGCAGAGCCTGGTCAAGGGCTGAGCTGGGGCAGGGTGCTGGGGCGCGGTGGGGAGCCCTACCCCACATGCCCCGTGCATGCACAAGTGCGCCAGCACCCCTGCACAAAAGCTGAGGGGCACTGGCCTGGGGGCCCTTGGTCAGGGCCCCCTCCCACTGAGGGGTGCGGTGGGACTCACCTTGGATCTTGACTCGGGTTTCCGGGTCGCTCAGGGTCCAGACGTACACCATCATGTCCATGCCACCCGAGGCGAAGTGCTCATTGTCGGGGGACCAGGCCAGGCACATGACCTTGGCGTGGTGCCCGTAAAAGACATTGCTCTCCTAGTTAGGGTTGGAGACAGGCGGGAGACCAGGCTCAGGCCTAGGCCACCTGCCAGCCCGGCACCCCGAGCTTAATGGCTCATCACCCGCCCAGGGCGCCTGCTCGAGGTGGAGATGAGGAAACTGAGGCACTTACTGCGTAGTCATCGGTGACACTGAACACTGTGACCACCTTGCTGGCGTCGGACACAGCAAGGAAGGCGCCGTCGTGGGAGTAGGCCACGTCTGTCACGGGGCCCTTGGCCTCCAGAAGCTTGCCCTCGTCCCTGAGTGTGGTGCCCAGGATGGAGTAGATATGGACATTGCCATCCTGCGGGCAAGGATGGAGCGGGGAGTCAGCCTGGCACATGCGACACCCCTTGCTTGTGGGCAAATGTCAGGGCACCAGTGGAGGTGCCTTCCTTGTTGCCCAGCCCTGGAGCCAGGAGTTGCCCCCCCCCCCGCCCCGGGCCTGGAGGGCGCCCTCTGCAGTTCATCAGCACTCCTGGCCCGCTCCCAAGTGGGCAGAGGGACGTAGAGGGTCCCACCCCAGGCCTCCGTGCTGACTGCAGGCTGGGAGCCGTGGAGTGTGCACTCTCCATGAGCAGCGGCCAGCTCCCAGCCCAACCTGGGGGCCATACCTGTGGGCCCCTGCACACCCCCGGCTCCGTGGCGAGTCCTCCTGCCTGTCTCCCGCCAAGCTTCCAGGCATCCTGTTGTGCTGAGCACCACCCGCCCAGCCCAGGGCTGTCACCCTGACCTCAGGGCCGTGCTCCACTCCAGGAGCCCTGCACCACCCACCCCACATGGTCTGGGAGCCTTTCCTGACCCTTCTGTCACAGAAGCCAGGATCTGTGGGCTGGGAGGAGACATCACCCATAGGGAAAGCCGCAAATGAAGGAAGAGCCAATCAGTGTCCCCAAATCACCAGGTCACTCCTGGGCAGGCAAGGAGGGAAGGAAAAGCATGGAGTGTGTGCGCGTGACCAATGAGCATCGGGGTGCCTGTCTGCTACAGCAATCAGCGTCCCCCAGGCAATGCCCCCGTGTGCTCAGCATGAGGGAGACAGAGCGCAAGCACAGCCAGGACTGACTCACAGACACAGGCCAGGACCGGAGAAGATGCCTGCGGCCTAGGCTGGGGCGGCCTGCCCACCACCGGGAGGGGCTCCCTCTCGCCACAGGCCAACCACACGGGGGACAGTGGCTCCCCACTCCTGGGGACACTGTCTGGCTGACCCCTGGGTCCTGGGCCCACGCCCTCACAGGGGGAACAAGCGGCTGCAGGAAGGATGACGAGGCCGAGACGGGCTGTCACACACGTGCCAGGCACTGAGAGCAAAGCTCTCCGGACAGCAGTCCTCGGGCCCCAGCGCCTCGGGGTGGGCGGGTGCGGGGGCTCGGGCCCTGCCCACCTGGACCTGCGAGGATACAACGCACTGTCCATAGGGCACTCAGGGCCTGGCCTGGCACATGGCTGCTCTTGCACACAAGCTGTGGCTCTGCCCAGTGGGAAGATCACACTGTGAATGACGGAAAGCTGGAGCCTGAGAAAACTGAAACCACCAGGTTTGTACTGCACCCAAAAGGTGTCCTCCGGGCACCTAGGAGCCAGGCCCCACGGGATGCCATCCTGGCTGGGCAGCCGCCCTCTCTGGTCCCGACTTCCCACAGCCCCGACTCCCGGTCCGAGTCTGAGATTCCCCTCCTGGTGCTTCCTGTCCAGCGCTCAGCACCCTCACTGCCCAGGGCCCTTGGCGCCCGCATGTCTGTCCCCCTGGCCACATGGCAGGATGGGCAGCACAGCACTCCCAGCGTGCTCACCCTGCCCACTGGGGTCGATCGGGGACAGCAGGCAGACACTTTGGCATGGCTTAGGCCACCAGAGGACGGGAGCCTTTGGGGCGTGCCAGGTGGTGGGGCTGTCAGGGTCCGGAGCAGGCTGCCACACCCTGGGGCTGCTGCCTCCCCCCGTGACGCACACAGCTCACGGGGTCCCCAGATCACTCAGATACCAAAGCCGGTGGGCACCGGGGACGGAAAGGCCTTACCGTGCCCCCAACAGCCACCGTGTCCCCGCCGGGGTGCAACGCCACCACTTCAGGCTCGTAGCTGGGGTTGTCGAGGCTGAAGCACTTCTTCTGGTCCTTCAGCAGGACGACCTGCGGACACAGGCGCGGTCAGCAGCAGGCCCGAAGACACACGTCTCAGCCAGGGCACTGCTGACAGAGCTGGTTCCTCTCTCATCAGTCCTGTGGGGGTGGGAGCTGGGGTCTCACCGTGGGCCGAGACTGTGGTCGCCGTCACTACACTCACCAACCGGGACGGTGGACTAGGCCTGTGCTGTACGCTGTCCCTGAAGGGCAGGCCAGCAGCACGGGGGGGGGTCGGGGTGAGACACAGGCCCTGGGCAGCACGCAGGTCATAGCAGGAGCCAGCGTCCTGTGCAGCCTGGGGATCGGTGGTGCCCTATGGCCGGTCCCAGGCATCGAGCCTGAGTCCAGCATGAGCACCCGGGAAGGGGGGAGGGAGAGGCCTGGGGTGCCACAGCAAGGGCCCTGCAGGCCCGAGCTGCTCCCCACCACCCAAGCCGCACCGGGCTCTGTCTGCAGAGTGCCCCGTGTGGCAGCGTGGGGTCCACGCCGAGGAGCTGTTCCCAGAAGTGTGCTGGCACACGGGGCTCTGACCATAATCCAACCACCTGCTGGTTATGGGGGGAGCTTGAAAGTGCCGACCCCCACTCCTGTTTCCCAGGGATGGGAACCCGAGAGGGCCTAGGCCTCCTGAAGGTGGAGCTCAACAGCCTGGGTAAATGTGGTTATTGGCAACAGGAAGCAAAACCAGCAGCTCGCAGCATCTAGGAGCGCGTGCTGTGTTTTGCCAGGAGCGTCGCAGCCCTGTGCAGCAGGGGTCGCAGGGAGACAATGGGGTTCGGAGGGCTCAGGCCGCACGCCAGAGCCCCACAGCGCTACCGGAGATCCAGGCTCCCCACCCAGACCCCTGCCCACAGCTACCACGCGGGCTGTGCCCCTAGCCACGGTGCACATGGCAGAGGGTCCCCCCCACCGCGACCCCTTTCCGTCCGCTCCTGGGTCTAACTGGCTGCTTCCCAGACAGGGTGCCCTGGATCTGTGAGCTTCGGCTCTGTCCCACGGCACTCCTGCCTGAGCCACAAGCTCCCTCTAAGTGCACCCCTCCCTAGGGTTCTGCTTCAGTGTGCTGTGGGGTGGCGGGGGAAGCACCCCATTCTTAGGGCACAAACACTGTCTTGGGCCCCTTGCGGAGCTCCTGTCCCAAGACCTGCACGACGGGGCCTCTGTGGAACTGAGCAGACATGGCAGATCAGGGAAGGCACCTGTGCTGGGACACTGCCAGTGGCACCCGAGGGCACCCCTCGTGGGTCCTCCACTGCCCACTGAGCCGGGCCAGGCGTCCTGACAACCAGGCGGGAAGGCCCTGCAGTGTGGATGAGCAGCCCCCACCCACTGGCCGGCCTGGCCATCCGCTGCAAGCTCAGTATCTAGGACACAGAAATCCGCCCTCCCTCAAGCAATGGTTCCCACACGAGGGAGGGGCAGGCTGCTTTCTTTAGCAGGGTTTGCCACTCGTGCTGCCCCTTCCTGGCTACACAGGGGGATGCCTGCATCCCTGAGAGATGTCGTGTGCCTCAGAGCAGAATTCTGTATAAAGTGGGTCAGGCGTGGATTCCCAGAAAGAGGCACTTTGTTCCAGAAAATCCAAAAGGAAAAGTGGGCAGGTGACCCTACCATGGGAACAAGAACCCACTCGGGCCCAATGTCACCCTGCCAGCCTGTGGCCTTGAGACGGTTCTAAGCCACAGCCTCCGCACTCCCGAGATGTGCAAGGAGCTTGCCGACAGCATCCTCATCACCACGCCTGTAAGCCTGTTGGGGAGGGGAGCTCTGAGGTTCACGGGCGCTGGGTAGGATGTGAGGTCGCACAGCTCCAACACGCAGGGCTGGATCTCAACATGGGCAATGACAGCTGACGGGCCCGTAGTGTGGTCTGGTGACAGTGACGGGTCCTAGCTGCCCTTCTACCAGTCAGACCATGGGCAGCAACCTACGCTCCTGTGTTTCCTCACCTGTCAACGAGGGTAAGGCCCTGCCTGGCTGGCGGGGCTGAGGGAGGACGCCAGGAGCCAAAGCAGGAGACACCTCCCACCACTCTGGTGGCGCTCAGCACAAATGCCAGCCACCTCTAGTCAGGCAGGACGCGGATGTAACTCCAACACCAGGCTCACACCGCTGAAAGCTCAATCCTGTATCCCACCTCCTCTTCCGGCCCTTCTGTACCTGGCCGATGCACACGACCACAGCATATCCCCCGGGGCCGACAGCTACGCACTTTGGTTGAACGTCCAGCTTCACGACTCCTTGTCCACTGTTAGAGAAAGCACATTATTTCCACACTGCAGTGGCTCCGTGTGGGTGTCCAATACATACTTACTGCAAAACCACTGCTACTTAGCTACGCAGAAGGAATGGCATCCTATGCTGAAAAAGCGTTTGCTAAAACGTAGGAGAGTGGTAAAAGCTGACCTGCTACTCAGGGGCAGAGGTCATGAATCACGACTGCAGGGGAAGGAGGCGGCAAAGGAGGGCAAGGCCACACTGTGGTCTAGATCCCCAGGAGGTGCCTGCCACCCTGTTACTCCCCAGAGCACAGCTCCTGTCCCCAATCCTGGGTCATAATCTGTCTTCCCAGTGGGGAACTGTCAGGAATCCACTGCTTTTAATGTGGGAACATCATGTCATCTTTTATTGTGGCTAGTGCTATCAAAACTGATCCTAGAAGGGCCAAGGATTTAGCTCAGCGGTTCAGCCACCTGTCTCGCAAATGCAAGGTCCTGAGTTTGATCCCCGGTACCAAAAAAACCAAAAAAACACAACTGATCCTAGAGTTCAGGTGCACAAGTGGATGTGCACACACATACACACTAACTTCTTAAATATTGTAAGTTTAGAAAGCTTGCACGCAGTTGGGCCAGGCATGGGGTCTCTAGTGCTCCCTGTATGGCCTTGCCTGCCTACAAGACTCGTCAGGGGTCATGCACGCCTGTGATCCCATCTGTGTCACTCTGGGAGGCTGACATGGGAGGATCACAAATTTGAGTCCAGCCTGAGCAATGTGGATCCTGCCTCAAAGTCAACTGTAAGAAAAAGGCTGGGGACGTAGCTCAGTGTGAAGGGCCTGGGCTTCTCAGTACCACCGAAAAAAGGAAAGCCATCATAAGGCAGGAGACATCAGGATCCTCCTGGGAGGCTGGACCAGCAGAGGCCCTGTCACTCAGGCAAGGGAGGTGCGTGCAGTGAACACCCCCATGTGTGCCGGCTGTGAGCTAGGTGCCATGTTGTCACCGGGGACCCACAGTCCCCCAGGTGAGACAGGTCCCAGGCAGCATGACAGGGTCTAACAGGAAGCACAGCCGGGGCTAGGCAGGCTTGGCCCTGGTCCTCCTTCCATCCTCCCGCCTGATGCAGAGCTTCCGGTCACTCGCTAGCAGCTACTCTCCCAGCTCCAGCTCCCATGGCTGTCACTCAGGTACCAGAGCCAAACCCTGCAAGGAGCATCTCTGAATCAGGTACCCGGCGTCTGCCTCACCCAGGCAGCAGGGCGCTCCTTGTACTGAGCACTGCCCACACCAGCCCCTCCCCTTCAGTGACGAGGACAGAGGGACAAGGGGAGACCTGCCAGGCTCCTGAAAAGACTGGGGCTGGTTCTGCTGCCTGCTCCTGGTCAGAGCCACAGCCACCTGGCTAGTGTGGCTCAGCCCCCCAGGGCCCCATGACAACACTATGCTCAGGAGAAGAGTGCACAGGAGCTGCGGAGCACAGGGCGGCTTACCTGTAGTCCCGCAGCGTGAGGCTGGTGTACCGCACGGTGTCGTCCATGCTGCAGCTGACCAGCCGCCCCGACTCGTCCACCGTCATCCTGCACACCTGATTCGTGTGGCCTTTCCCAGAGAACGAGTCATTCTCGCCTGTCTCCGAATCCCAGTAATGTAGGGCGCAGTTAAGGAGAAGTGTGCTACCTGCCCTCAGAACACAGCACAGCATGGCGAGGCGAGAGGCGCCTCATGGGCGTCCGAGCCCGGATTTTAGAAAGCGGATGCAGCAATATGGCCTGCCTGTCGGCCTCCCTGTGACAGGCACGTAAGGCATTAGAGCCCAGAACTCCCGACCCAGAGCACTTAACAGAGATGAGCGCCCATCAGAAATGCTCCAAAAGCTAACCTGCTATGTGTGCAAGGTGTGTATGGAGCACGGGTGCATTCTGTGCTCAGACTTGGGTCTCCTCCCCAAGATAGGTATTTTTATGTACACAAAAGTGTTTCAAAATTTGAAAAAACCCCAACCCCAAGAACTTCTGGTCCCAAGCATCTGGGACAAGGGATGCTCACCCTGTAGTGTGGCCAGTACTTATTTTCAGCCCTCTCAAGAGGGCTCCTGCAGCAAGCAGATAGCACGGCACCCTGGGCAACAGTCCGGATGCCGCCGCTGGTGCCGGGACTTCTCCGGAGACACTGTTTCATTTCACCTTTCTTGTGAGTCAAGCCTACAGCTACCTGAACTCAGAGGCTGGCTGTGCCCCACTGCTCAGCTGATGGCTGCCCGGGGCCACCAGTAACGGCCCCCATGGGGGACCCACCTTTCTAGAGACTGTGGTGCAGGCTAAGCCAAAGGTACCTGGTACAGGGTGTGGCTTCGGTATGAGGTTCTTTCATGTTAACAGATGAGAATCCTCTGTCAAATGAAGCCTACTGTCTCCTTGGGAGGCTGGACGTGTACTGCACAGCCATGCATTCCTGGGATTGCAAACCCAGCACTGGTGCACCAGCTCTGGGTCAGGGCTGAGGTAGTTCCAAGAGGGAGGCTGCCCGCTGGGACGGCAGGAGATGGTCCCGGGGCGGCCTCTGCATGGGCGAGCTGTGCTCTCACAGCGAGAAGACTGGCTTGAAAACCTGGGGCAGGAGCAGCCTGTCACAGGGCAGGGAGCGCTCCTCGGGGCGGGCAGGCGGGCAGAACAAAACGCACAGCGGCGGCCTGCCGGGGATGTGTGCAGGCAGCTGGTCCAGGGAAACCACTGCAGGGGCCCGTCATTCAGAAGTCCCAGGGGCGGGTCTGCAAGGGGCACAGGACCTCCCTGGAGATCCAGGACCAGCCCTGGGCTGACGGGCCATGAGTGCGGGGCTGGCACTTGTCTGAGCTTCAGTTTCCATTTGTTAGAACACAGGACTCGGCTGACGCGTGTCCAAGCCCTTCTGAATTCTCAGATCCCATGGTTCCCTTACTCGTGACAGGGACAAGGCTGGCACGCACTGCCATTTACAGGGAGGACAGAAGCTCAGGTTCAGAGAGGGAGAGCCGCACAGCAGGCTGCACAGCAAAGGGCCTGATAGGGACAAAGCTGCGGCTTCTCCGGGCCAAGGCCCCATGTCCGATGGACGCCTGCTGAGCCCAGTGCTCCCGAGCACGGGGCTGGTGCCACCTGGCAGGCCTGGCCCCAGGCCCCAGGCAAGTCCCTCTCTTGCCAGCACCCTGGCCCAAAGGATATTAACATGGCCGTCGTGGCTCCCGGAGTAGATGTAGGACTTGCTGCCGTTTCTGTGCACCGTCAGGCACTGGATCGATTTACTGTGACCCTGTGAGGAGCCAAGCGGAGGGCTGAGCCAGTCAGCCTTCCCCGACAGCCACAGGGGCCCTCTCTCCCCGGCATCGGGCCCCTGGGTTCCGACAGGGTCTGAGCCACAGCTCCACCCAAGCTGTCCCTGGGTTCTGACCCCTGCCCCAACCTCCCCGACGCTGACAGCGTGGGGACCGTGTGCGCACAGTAAGTCCACAGCCAGACACGTGTCCAGAGGGACGGACCTTCAGCCTCTTCTGCTGCTGGATGGAAAACCCTGCTGAGCGGGGGCCGGTTTTACCCTTTCCCCAGGCCCCCAGCCGGTCTCCCTGTTCTTTATCAGCAAACCCAACTGCCAGTTGGCCTATTCATACGCTCCCAGGAACTTCCCAGCGTCCTCTGGCATTCCACGTGTTGCTACACATAGGACATTTCCCCTCAGGTGAAGGGATGCAGTCCTCGATGGGACTGGAGAACTAGTGACCAGACTGTGTCACTCCCGTCTCCCTGGTGGGCACACAGGGCCAATGCATGCCATGCCCCAGTAAGTCACCCCTTAGCCCTGCCACTACTGAATGTGCTTCCCGGACTAGCCCGACATCGCGCAGAGGACTCATGTGCCTGAGACCTCGTGAGAAACGCAGGCTCTCAGCGCGCAGCCATGAGGACACAGGGGTCCCTGCTGAGGCTGGGGCGTTAAGCTGGTGCTTCTGGGTGATTTGCACGCACCTGAAGGTCATCCCTGGAGCCCCTTGACTGACCCCTCCGGACCAGCCAGGAAACCTCTCTGAGGCTCATGCGCAGCCAGGCTGGGAACCACTTTCTCCCGGGCTCATGCTCATGGCTCAGCAGCCTCCGCAGCCTGAGGTCACCCCCAGCTACCTGGCATGACCCAAGCAGGTGTAACTCACGCTGACTGGGATGTAGCTCTCTCCTAACAAACCCAGGAGCTCACAAATTCCCTGAGCTGACCTGGCCTGCAGCTGACAGCAGAGACGTTGCCAAGAGCAGACATGCACAGCCAGGCGGACAGACCCAGGATGACAGACCTGGGGCCACACACAGCTCCACTGTTGGCAGCCAGGCCAGAATCTCTGGTGCAGAATTTCTAAGCATCCCATGCAGAGGCCCGGCGGAGCCCCGTCTGTCTCGAGAAGCCCGACTCCCCAGGCATGCCCTTCTTGTCCCTGGGCATGTCCTTCGTGCTGCCACAGCGTCCCTCTCACCACCCTCACCCTGCTGTGCAAACCCCGAGGGCCCAGGAGGTGCCTCTCATAGGTCCCCCCTTCCCGCAGGCTACCCGTCCCTGGTGGGCCAGGTCACCTTGATGACCCGCAGGGGCTTGCTGGGGTTGTTCTTGTCCAGGTAGTTGATGTAGCCCGACAGGGAGATGCTCAGGAGGTGGTCCTTCTGCCACAGGCAGCCCAGCTGCTGGTCCAGAACAGTGGAGCCCATGGGAAACGTGCTGACGACCGAGTTCGCACTGACGTCCCAAATCTTCGAGGATTTGTCTCCAGAAGCAGAAAGCAAATGGGTGCTATCAGGACTCCAACTAATCTGTGCAAACCAGACAGGTCTTGCGTCAGGATTGCAGAGGAAGAGACCAGACAGCAGCCTGTCCACAGCCTGCACTTTCAGGCAGACAAAAGTGAAGCCTGAGGAGGCCGAGGGACGCGCCCAGCCCCCAGGTCCCCCCCCCCCAGCTCTACCACGGCCCGACTCAGCCCATTTTATATTTTGGTCTAACGTTAGTATCCATGGGCACACAGAGATTTGGACAAATTATACCCAGCACAACACAAAACACAAAAATTCACTCACAGCATAAATCCCTCCATCATGGGCCTTGCTTCCTCCCAGCGCACATACTTTCTCTCCCGTCTTCCCGTCGTAGATGAATATCTTCCAAGAGACAAAACCGAATGTGCGTCACGTGTCTGGGTGTGTGGATGCGGATGCCCTCGGCTGGCATGCCACTTCCCTAGTGACCACGGTTCTAAAGACGGAGCTTCCCGTGCTCTTTAAAAGGAAAGTCCATGGCTGCTGGGCCTCAGTGACAGGCCCGGGAGGTGGCAAGCAAGGACAGCTCCTGAAAGCCCACCTGCCCACCAGCCCTTTCCCCTCGCCCTTACCTGGCCGTCAGCACTGGCTGTGGCAAATCTGTTCCCATCGGGGGAGAACCGCACGCAGTTGACAAAGCGGCTGTGGTCCTGTGGGACAGAGCACAGTCACCCGCCTGATGCAGTTCGGGGTGCACCCTGAAAGCCACGGCCAGCCTCACCACCAGCTACAGCAGCGGGTTAGAGAGGCCCACAGTCCCTCGGGCTCAGTTTCAGCCCCCCATCCCTGCCTGCTGCCCCCTCTGCTGTCCTCCAGGTGAGAGTCCTTCACCGCCAGGGGCCCCATCTGCCCTCTTTCCCCTGGGCCTGTAGAGAACTCCAGCCTGGAGCCTTAGGCTCTGCTCTGGCCAGAACCACAGGCATTGCCATGGGCCCCTTCCCGGAGACCTGAGACCCCACCCCGAGAGAGGAATGGGGGTGCCAGGGGCCTGCGGAACCAGTAAGTACTTTCCCCAGCAGGTGGGACGCAGCAAACTGCACCACAGCCAAAACTGACTTTCCACATCACATCTCTCCCTCTGCGGCTGTCCTAACTGTTGCCTCTGCCAGTGTCACAACCTGTCCCTTCACCTCGGAGCACCCATGGGAGCCTCCAGGCCAGCTCTTTACAGGAGAGGAGCAGGCCAGAGACTGGGTAACCTGAGCAGCAGCTCTAAGAACCCAGATCCAATTTCCTGCTCCAAGCTCTGCTTCCTCAGCTACACTGGCTCTCGGGCCCAGCCCAAGTCAGATCCCTGAAGATGCAGGCCAACTGCCACCTGTTCTGGGCTGCACAGCTCACTGCACAAGAAGGCCCTGTGCTAGGCATCAGGGTTGAGCGAGGCACACCCCAAGGTTCCCGAAGGCCGTGGGAGCCAGCTGGGTGCCAAGCTAGTGGAAAGGGGACTGGAGACCAAGCTTTGCAGATCAACCATGGGGTAGGGGCGGCACACACACCTCCTTCCGGTTGAGGTGGAGCAGTCCTGTGACGTGACTTGACGTGACCTAAACTAGACCAGAGCATCCAGCTTCCTCGGCAAGCATGGCCCAACTCTCGCCTAGACCGGACACTGGCGTGCCTGTCACGTCCGGGACCCGCTTCCTCAATGGCGAAGAGGACGAAGGAGACACTGGGGTCGGTTCACCCTGGGTCCCTCTGCCTGGGCAGGGCCGGGGACAACAGGGTGGCAGAGTGGGCTGCTGACCCTGATGTGCTGAATTCAGCAGGAATCTGAGAACACTTAGCTGCCCTTCGGCTTTAACAGTGATGCCTAACTGCACCGGTTCCCTGAGGACAGGCACAGACACTCCTACTCCAACCCCAAGTGCAGAAGCAGGACACCCCGGGAAGAAACCGGATCCCAGGACCCGCGACCCTGAGCAGGTGTCTGGCACGGCAGGGGTGAGGTCGTGCAGCCCAGGGAACATGGAGAGCAAGGGAAAGCCAGAGCAAGCAGACGCCCTCCAGCACCGGGGCGACGGGAGCCTGGGCCTCTGCCCCAGAGCCTGCTCCTGTCACTGTTTCCTTCAGCTCAGCCGAGCACCCGGAGTCCAGACAGGCAGGAGCCTCACGTCTGCTCCTGAAATAGCCTCTACATTGGTAGCAAACCACCAGGAGCCGTTAACCAAGGAGACAAGAGCTAAAAACAGCGCTTCCTGCAGGGAGGCCGGCCGTGCACACATGCACTCGGGGGCCTGAGGGGACAGGTCGTGGCCAGTCCAGAGGATCCCTGCCTTGCAGGCCACCTCCTGACCAAACCGGCCACGTGAGTTGCCCCAGCTGGCCAGAGGGTCAAGGTGCAGTCCTGTAGTGCCCACCTCAGGTTGTCCAATGTGGGTCCCACCAGGGGCTGCCCTGCTGCTCTCAGCCAGCAGGCGGGAAGCAATGAGGCTTGCAGGAACCGCCCAAGGCCACGTCACCAATGCAAGTAGAGCGGCCCGGGCTCCAGGGGTCCTGACTCCTCGCGCCATCTGACTACCTGGCCGGCAACGTGTCCACAATCACCAGCCTGGGGGGCTGCTGCACACAAACCACACCCCAGCCCTCCTACCCAGCACATGCCCCGCGGCCATGGGCGACCCAAAACAGCTCATGCAGCAGTGGAAGCGCTGGCTCCCCTTTCCCTGCCAAGCAGCTGGAGGGCAGCACTGTCCCTCACCCGCCTCAGCAAGGCTGAGAAGCCCAAAGGAGCCCCGCCACCCCACCCTGGTCAGCTACCGCCACTCTTCCCTAGAAAAGGCCAAGGCCCTGCTACCTGCCTTGGGTGCCAGGTCTGACAGGAGGCGGGCGTGAACTTGCTGAAGCCAAACAAGGGACATAGCGCCCCGGCAGGAAGATAGGGTCCCCCAGCGCACATCTGCTCCACTTGGGGCGCTGCGCTTGGTGAGGCAAGCAGGAGCTCCAGCTCCAGGTTGCGTGACCACACTCGGGGCCAGCTCTGCACAAGGGAATGAGCTCTCGCATTCACTGCTCTCGGCAACAGCTCTGCTAGACACAAGCTGTCCTGTCTGTCACCAATGCCTAGCAGGCAGGGCAGGGACAGGGCTCTGAAGTCCTCGGGCAACTCCCCGCTCCCCCAGAGTGCAGGGGAGGTTGGAGGCACAGAAACTGGCCCTCGGCCACACCAGACAAGACACTGGTGGGCCCGGATCACGTCTGGGTGCCTCTGTCAGGGGCGGCTTGGTGTGGGGCTGACAGCCTCCCCACTCCCCCCTCAGGCCCGTCAGTGTCTCCCCGGGGCCCTACACCTCTGTCACGGAAGGGAGTGCTGGCGACAGGATCGTCCGGCCTACCCCTCACTGGTCTCAGACTCAGGTCCTCCCGTGATGCTGAGGGGCACTTCTGGGGTCAACCATGGGACATACAAAATGGGAGCACACAGCCACAGGGTGGTGCCTGGGCCCACTCCAGAAGGGTTTCCCTTCCCCCACCTTCAGGGTGCACAAAGCTGGTGTGGCCTGAGGCCCGCAGGGCACAAACCAGGACTCCAGTTCAGAGTGGAGTCTACAGGAGCTCTGCGCAATGGGCAAAGCGTCATGGCTCTTGGGCATGGGCCAGAAGGACAGGAGGGGACCTGAAATGACCTCTAAGGGGCCCCCCAACTTGCTGCTTTCATGCCACATGGGCACAGCCTCAGCAGGGTCTTGTTTCAGCACGCACTGGGCTGAAATACCCAACAGCGCCCTCTTTTGCAAGGCAGCAGCCTGGACATGAGCCATGTTGTCCCCATGCTGCCCAGATCTCTGGGAGAGCTTCCTCAGTACCACTGCCCACTCCGGGCCCTGGGGACATAGGGTTGGACAGAAGGAAACAGGACAGAGCTGCCTGTGCACTGCTCACTCCTGGGGTAGGGTCCAGCAGAGCTGAGCAGGAGGTGAATGCGGCCCTGGCTCCCAGAATCATGGGGTTGGGAAGGAAACATCTGGGGACAGAAGACTGGTTCTGTTTGGATTTCATGGTGAAAAGAACTTCTCTCTCAAAAACAAAACAAACACAAAAAACCCACCCACATGTATTTTAATTTTTGCAAGAATGTTCACACTCCCAGCTTTGCCATCAGGAGGACCCGCGTATGGAAAGCAGCCTGCAAGGCTTCCTGTGGCCAGCACGTAGGCTCACCCAGGCCCCGTGCCGTCTGTCTGTGCCTGCGCCCTTTCCCAGCCCCTCTGGCCCATGGGTGACAGGAAGGCAGCAGGAGCAAGACATGGCAGGGCAGGCAGCCCCAACTCTGTTGGGGGATGCAGCCCAGGACCCGTGATATCAGCGGCCTCACTTGCTTCTGAAGGTCGGCCACACCTACCAGGCACTGTAGGGGATCCTCCCTGTCCCTTCTATGTCGCAAGACTCACTCTTGACATCAGCAGTGTCTTGGGTCCTCCCCCCAGCTGTAGAGTGGGCAGGGCAGGGCCAGCATCACTGTGCTTTCCCGGTACCGAGGGGCACACCCACCTAATGCGAGGGTAGCAGAGCCAGCCAGCCTGGTGCCAGGCAGTACCTGGAGTTTCTGGTCTCCGGTCCTAAAGCCACAGCCCTTTCTACCTCTCTAGGTCCTCAGACAGGATCCACGGGTGTGGGCTTCTGGGAGAATCTCAGGGACGCAGTGCCCACCCTGGGCAGGGGGCCAGCTTGGCAAACCTTCCTATCTGCCACTCCGGGTGGGTGCTACGGGGGAGGACTGTGTATGGAGGGCAGAGAGAGGGGACAGGATGTTCCCGCCAAGCCCGAGTGAGCACACAGCATGCAGGGTGTGGGGAACACAGGCTGGGGCTGCTGTCTGGGCTCGGACCCAGCTCCACCGTGCAACCCAGAGCTGCTCTGTGCTGTTTTCAGCCCGTGCCCGCAAATGAAATGATCCTTCACACCCCCAGACCCAGACCAGGGGGGCCAAACAGGACTTGTGGGGGCCTGAGCAGTGGGGACAGCATCCAACTGCTCACCACCTCCTGCCCTTCCTTCCTCCCTCGGGTTCAGATCAGGTTCAGATCCAGTGTCTGCTGGCTCCGCGGTGCTCCTCCTGTGGTCTGCAGGCTTCTACTCCACTTAAACACTGACCTTGGGCTGCAGCCTTCAACAAAGCTCCAGAAATAGCCAGGTCTCCACTCCCTGCCAATTAGGCAGCGGCTGCAGGAGACAGATCTGAAACTGCAGGGTGTCTGCAAGGGGCCACCTGGAACCTGCTTAGCCCAAGGCCCTAGGGACAGAACGGAGCTGTTTGCTTCACCACCAAAGGGGAATCCCTGGAGAGCATCAATACCGGAAGCCAAGCTCCACGCCACCCATGAAGTCCCGCCCTCTGCTGAACCATCCTTGCCACTCCCAGCAGCATCACACCTGCTCTCTGTGACGGGCTGCATTATGTCATTGAAGCTAGCCGCTCCAAGGACACTGCCTCACTGGGTCCCCTGAGGCACAGACACTGGGAACCACTGGCGCCCCGAAGGGCGATCAATCAACCACCTCCAGGGGACACACAGAGCCCATGAAACTTGCCCTTTCTGGGCAAACGTGGCCATGGCCCCTGCTCCTCTTCATCATGGGCACTGAGGCTGGCTGCCGTTTCCAGGCCGTGTGCTCAAGGTAACTGGGAAGCCAGAGCAGGTACAGCACTGCGGTTGGTGCCCCTGCACACCAGCCCAGCCACCCAGAGCACTCAGGGCTGGGAAAAGGGGCGCTGCCCTGGCCCTCTAGGGGGCCCGGCCATTCGCAGTTCAAATCCTTACCCAGGACCCTCAGGTGCCCACCCCCTCCCTATCGTGCATCAGGAGCCCATCAGGGAGGGGCAGTGAGAGTGGGGACCCTGAGATCAGACGCTTATGTCGAAGCCTACACTCCTCCAGGGCACGCCGGCAGACGCGATGTCCCTGATCTCTGAGGCCACTTTGTGGGCATGTGTGCTCCACCGCCTCTCCAGGGGAGGGACCTGAGGGTGATCCAGGAGTCCTGAAAGCCATCTTCTCTGCCCCCTTGGTAGCTCAACAGGTCTGAGTCGATGCAGCCAAAGAGAAGGCTGCCAGGGGCCGGGACACTCCTCTGGTTATGCAGCATCAGACACTGCTGCCCTCACGTCCCTGCTGGAGCCCCTGTGCCCAGCCTAGCACCTGGCAAACGTGGGGTGGGGACAGGTGTGCTCCCATCTCTGCAAGACATGTCCCCCATGCGACGCCACTTTCTGCCTTTACATCACGGCACTGACCCTCCTGCATCCATATCCGGTGTCCCATATAAACCTCAAAGTTCACCCAAAGCTGCCCGAAGAGAACAGCCCACTTACACCAATGGTAAACTTGAACTTGAACGGAGGCCCCTCGAAGAAGGCAGCGCAGTTATCATCGCTTCCTGTCACCAGCCGGTATGGCCTGGTCTGCTTGATGTCCACGCTGTTGATAACTTTGTTGTGTCCTGTGATCTCACCAACGGAAGAGCCACTGTCCCACAGGAAGACGGCTCCAAACCTTTACCCAACGAGAGGAGTGGAGGAGAAAGTCAGTCTGGGAAGGGAGAGAAACTCGACAGCTGGAGACGGGTGGGTGTTGATGCAGTTGCCCAGGATGCTAAAGGGACGACGCATTCGAAAGTGCATGGATTTGGGTCTCTAAGCTTCATGTTTGAAGGATCTGAGGACCACCAGGAGCTGCCAAGCTCCTCTGGAAGGGGCTAGGTATCGGATGCACAGCCCAGCCACCCCAGGAAGCGTCACTGGGGACTTTATGGCTTCAACGTTTCCCTAACCATTTGGGGGAAGGACCAGGAAATAGGTCAAGTACCAACCCCTCCTAGAAAAGAGATGCTTTGCTTTGACTTGAAGTCTAAATAAATTAAAGAGCAAAATAAAAGACAGACGTAGGAAACAGGGAGGTCTTTTGCAAACGAGAAGGGGACCAAGAGGTGCCGGGAGGGGTAACAGAAGAATTCAGGTGGGTTATGTACATGTTCCCACACCCCACGATGAGCACAGTCATTACGTACTGCAAACACGCAGTAATAAAAGTGTGAAAAGAATAGTAATGCAATGCGTGAAAAAAATGCACTTTTTAGTTTTTATTTGTCACTGAGTAGAAATGGAATAGTTGGAGCAGCAGGGATTAAGTAAAAGCCACAGAACAATAAATAGGCACCAGAACACGAACTACGAAAGACTAAGGGAAACAGAGGAACGGGCTCTCAAGGTCAAGGGCCTGTAGGCGGCTGTGATGGGCGCTGACCGGCGGGGGAAGAAAAGACCCCGGTCCAGCTCTGAGCCTGCTGGTCACCAAGCAAGAGTGCAGCCCCAGTGTGCGACCTGGTCAGGTCACAGCTGTTCCTCAGGTGCTGTCCCCGCTGGGAGAAACCCACGGCCAGTCCCTCTTTCGGCCACACGGTCGCGGCTGGAAGGGTCTCCTGATTACGGAGGCACAGCCTGTTCACCTGTCCCTTCCCTGCCGCCAGGGATGGGGCCGTGGCAGAGGGAGTCCCACAAGGCGAGGGACAGAGAAGGCGTCTCAGGCCTTGATCACAGCCTGGGGGATGCACTTCCCCTGTGCACGGCTGAGCCAACCCTGCAGGGCCCGGAGGCCCTGGCAAGGCTGCTGGAGGGCTGGTGCCCACTTGGAACTCGGCTGACCTAGACCCTCCTGCCGCCCTCTCCCACCTCCCACCAGGGCCAGGCCACAGGAGACTGGGAGGGGAGGGGCTGGGCGAGCAACTCACTTCTCCCTGCCTTCCCCGACCACGGCGATCCTCTTACTGTCTTCTGTCCAGGCAATGTCCTTGATCTTCCCGGCAAAGGGCTGATACTCGTACTTGAGGAGGTGCTCCTTCTGCGTGGTATCCCAGATCCTCAGCTTCCCGGAGACGTCTGCAGGACACACGCATGCAAGGGGGCCACACGTCACCGCCAGGCCAGGGCTTCGGCCACAGCCCCTGGGGCCCCGAGGGAAAGGCCTCGGCCGCTCTCCACAGGTGCCGCCTCCACCGCCTGACCTTGACGCCTGAATCTCACCTGGGCACCCGACCCTGCTCAGGTATCGGAAAGGGACACAGGGTGCCCGAGGATCAACGAGCAGCTAAGCAGCTTCACTTTGTGGCTCCCAGGGGATCTGAATGGGGCATGGACCTCGGGCCCCCTGCCATGCACTCAGATGGCACGAACTGCAGCCCTGGACTCGCAGGCACCTCAGGCAATGTGGCCCAGCCCCACTGGCACCCCGAAGGCCTGGCCCCACATCCATCACCGGCGCAGATGGGTGCTGCACACTACGTGCCCGGGCTGCACGCTGGCAGCACATGGAGCCAGCAGCAAGTTGTAAAGGAAGGAGCATGGGGCCCCCGCTGCCCTGCAGGATCCTGTCACCAAGCAGCAGCTGACACAGCCCTTCCCAAAGCGGCACTGTCACAGTGGGAAGGAAGGCGGGTGTTTACGCCAACTCTGCAACTCAGACCTCCTGCCTCAGCCTCTGACGTGGGTGGGCGGGCTGTGGCCTTTCCTGGCAACCCAGCCCGCTGCACAAGGACCACGGGCAGCGGCTCCAGGGAAAACAGCTGCTGTGTTTGGGCTGAGCAGAGCCGGGGGGGGGGGCAGCCAGGAGCCTGCTCAGGGGCCCGCACCGGGCCTCCATGGCCTTACCACGAGAACAGTGCCAATCGCTGGGCTGCTGTGGGGACAGGACGAGGTCACACGTATGGTCTCAGACTGATCCTTGGTGCACAGTGCATGGCTGCTGAGTTAGCCCCGAGCTAACTCAGCTGTGCAGCAGCCACTAGGGACCCTCACTGTGTGCAGACAGAGCCAGAGTCCGCACTCCCAGGCTGAGACCCAGAGGGCACGTGAGGACCATGCCCACTGCTAAGTCCAGCTGCAGTGACACATAAGCAAGAGGGGACACCCAGCCACACGGATATGCCAGCTTGGCGGGGTGTGGGAGTCCCTGAAGGGCCTCTGGTCATCACCAGATAAACTCCGAGACAGTGCGGCACGTTGCCGAGGTGTGCACACCTGGCTAGCTGAGTTCCTTCACTCAACAGGCCGGCAGGGAACGGGAAGCCAGCCAGGGCCGGCAGGGCCAGAGGCGAGTGCTGCCCGGGCGGGGAGGGCAGGTGCACTCGTGCACACTCGCACATGTTCATGCACGCACCCGCAGAAGCTCCTCCACACGGGCACACCTGACCCCTGACGTCACACCTCTCACACACGACATAGCCCCATTCTTCCCTATCCCTGGGCTCATCCACCCACTGCTCTGTCCAATGGCCAACCAGCTTTTCTTTCTCCACTGGCCCCCTGCAGACCAACAACCTCCTCCGCTAGGCCCTGACTGTGCATGTCATTCTGTCCAGAAGCAGCTGAAGCAGGAAGACATGGAGGGCTCCTGGGGACCAGGCACAGAGCCCCTGATCTGACCAGGGCAGCCCGCAGCAGTTGTGGCTGGCCGAGGGCTCGCTGGGTGCCCGGCCCTGTGGTGAGCGCTAGGGGCAGAGCAGTGATATGAACAGACCTGAGGGCCCAGGTGGGGAGACAAGAGAGCACACCTCTGACGGCCATCAGCCTGCAGTGTGGGGACAGTGATGTCGGGCAGGGCTCCCTCCCAGGCAAACTCGTCAGCCGTGGGACATCATGCGGGATGCGACTGCATGATCCCCGCCCTCCACATGCACAGAGCAGCTCACCCGGAGGACAGAGGGAAGCGGTAGTGCAGGGCGTGGCTTTTCAGTCCCCAAGGAGACCTCTGCTCACGGACCCTATGGCCCGTCTTTCCTCCCCTTCACCTCTGGGCACACAAAGCCCTTCCTCCAGGAAGCCTGCCCTAGTGTACAGCTGGATCAGGTGCCACTGCTCACAGCCCCGAGGTACCCTGAGGGCCATCTGAGAATCACACCAGGAGGAAGATGCTGATGGGAGCTGAGCTGCTGTGGAACCATGGCACAGGGCGTGGGCTTCTCCAGGCCAGGGCTGGCCATCTCGCTCATGCTGGGGGCTCCCTGGGAGCTCCCTGGGAGAGTCCTATGCAGAAGGTCCCATCCTTCAACACCTGGCAGCCAGGTGGAGTGACAGCATCCACAGCTGCTGCAGGAGGCTGGGCCCCAGCTGGGCGGGAGCTGTGGGCTTCCTGAGGTTCTGGGTGGGACCCCGCTGCGAGCCACCACAGCCTTCCTGAGCCTCCCGCCCTGCAGCCTCACTCCAAACCCTGAGCAACACACTATTTTTAGCCCAGGGCCTGCATCTCTGCAGCAATGTTCATTGTAACTCTTAACAATCACTGCTCTATTCAAAGGGTCGGATTAGAAACACAAAAATGCCATCTCCACCCATGAACTTAGCTGGTTCCCCACCAAGTCGAGGCACTCTGAAGAGCATGTCTAGCTGATGGTCACTCATACCTGGGACTGTCCCTTGTGTCGGCCTCCATTAGAGTGAAGGCCACTGACTTGGGTCCTGGGGAGCAGTCCCCAGGCATGGGCGGCCAGACCTGGGCTGGAAGGGCGGGAGCTGTGCCAAGCTGGGCAGATGCCCTCACCAAACACTCCTCTCCTAAGGAAATTTCTCAGAGCACTGGGCTGTGTGTTACACACAATTTAAGCAAGTACCTGGGCCAATTCTTGGGGTGTAATGAAGACATGTTAGATTGGCAAGAGGGGAGAACTATCGCAGGGCTAGAACAAGCCATGGGATTAGAGTGAACCCTAAAATGGCATTAGCGATCTAAACCCAGAACCCTCTCTACGTATGGTACTCCCCACCCAGCCCTTGACTAACTGTGGGGGCTGACAGCAGGCGCCAGCAGCGTGCCTGTCCCCTCCCTGGCTCTCAACAGTGCTCCAGTTTCAGTGCTGGACAACGTGGTCTCACTGCTGCTAAGTACCCATCTGTGTAGGACCATGCTAGGCACCGTCCACACATCGCCCCGGATCCTTCCCCAACCCTGCAGCCCCAGCTTATGGAAGAGAATACTAAGGCCAGGAAAGCCAGTCACACGACCTTGGAGGTGCAGATCCTGGGTCCCTCCCAACCCGGAACCCACACATACAGCCTTGGGGTGCAGGTCGCACGCCATAGCACCCAGGAATCCTAGCAATGACAGCTGTGGCTCCAGCGATTTGGACGTGGCCCTCCCTGGGGCTGGAGACAGAGCTCAGCTGGGGGAGGGGGCATAAACATCTGCAGGGTGCGTGAGTGAACAAATAGGCAAATGAACGAGTGAGATGCAGGGCTTGCCACTCCACCTCCCGTGCCTGCGACTCCTCTGCAAACGGCCCGCCTCAAAGGACTAAGTGAATAAAGCTTCTGCACATGGAAAAGGCTCAGCGCCGCCCGCCCGGACTCCTATTGAGCCAGACAGAAGGCCCAGGCTGGAGGGCAGAGGCCAGGCATCAAACAACGCCGGCGCCTGCTGAGAGGCGGGCTGGGAAAGGAGCAGTGGGTAAGGGCGACAAAAACGCAATTCGGGTTCACAACACACACTATGTGCATGCCTGGCGGAGCCACCCGTGGCAGCCTGTGTCTAACCCAGAGCGGTGGTTTCTGCTGCCTCTGAGCTGGAGCCTCGGGGACACTGCACACTGTGAAGCACGCTTTCTACAACTAAGGCCAGGTCTGCAAAGGGGTGAATTTTGGTGGTCTGCATTTCCTGTGCCAGCTGCAAGTGAAACCAATCACACACCAGTGCCCTTACCTCTCCCCCAGGCCCTCCTTCCCAAGCCAGGAGCCTGCTCGAACGTTACCTCCAGAGGCGACGTAGAAGCCGCTGGGCGCATACTTGGCCACCACCACCTGGTGCGCGTGCTCCGTGTAGATGTCGGCGACCGCAGGGTCCTGCAGGGAGAAGATCGAGGTGAGCGGGAGGAGGGAGGGGGCAGCCGGCCCGGGACAAAGGACGCACGGCAAGCCCCGAGCTGCAGTGTCAGTGTCACAGACAGGGCACTCACAACCCGCCACTGCCGCTTCCTACCTCTCTTAGGCGACAGAGCTGCAGGGACTTTGCCCTGGTCTGCTTCCTTGTACCTTCCCCAGCACAGGGCAGGTGTATTTGGGGAACAGACCCACAACGAGAGAAAGGAAGGGCCTGAAACCGCGACCCCCCCTCCCGAGGGGCGCTGCCAGTCGGCACTCACCAATACCCACCCTCCCAAGGCCGCCTTCCCCAGCGGCCCCGACCCCATGCGGGCGCCCTTGGTGTCCGAGTGGCACAGGCCCTGGGCAAGGGCCTGGGAAGAAGTGCCACGTGGCGCAGATCAAAGGCTGGCTGGACCTTGTGGCAAGAACAGGACCAGCGTCTGGGGCGGGGGGACGGGGCATCTCCACACCTCAGCAGTGAGGTCTGAACGTGGTGTCATTTGCTTAAAGTGGATCCCTGCCCTCCTCCTGCACACACGCTCCCCACACGCTGAGCCCAGCCTGCCCAGGCCCATGCCAAGGCCCCCGTCTTGCAGGAGGGAACAAAGACTCCACTGCTGCTGTCAGCACGGGACAAATGGTGCAAATGGGAGAAGAGCTTCCCAGACTCGAGGCTGAGGATGCAGCAGGGTGGGGTGGGGAGCCCAGCTTTTAGGACCGACAGCTGCGCCACACCTGATGCAACCCCACCTCCCTACCACCCCAGACACCCCCCCCCCAGCCGGCCCTGCAGCCCAACCTAAGTGGCATTTCCTCCATAAAGCCTCCTGGAGGCCCCACCCTGGCTCCTCTACACCTGTGAGGTAGATTAGGGCTGCACACACCAGATAGCTAACCAGGTGAAAGGCGTCAAGGGTCATAGTAACTCATGGGATATGTGCTGCAGCGGGCAGAGCTCCCTCTGCGATGACATCATTAGTTGCAGGAGTTGGTTTTTTTCTAAACTAAAACCTCAGTATTCATGTTTAACTGTGGTGCAGGCCCTTGGCGATAAATAAGTAGATTTGGGGTTGCAGTTTGGGCACTTGCTCCTAAAATGTTTGTCATCACTGGGAGCAAGACAAAACAGAGGACATCTACAGAACATGGACCCTAAAGTGACCCCAGGGCTCCCGAGCACTGCACCCAGAACAATCAGAAATGATATTCTCATTCCTTCATTTGAATCTGGCACAGTCACAGAACCAATCAGAGATGCTATTTTCAATCCCTCATCTGCATGTGGGCACAACCAACAACCAACTAAAGAGCCTCCATTTACATGTGGCAGGAATCCCATCGCGTTTGCCTACAGGATGATTTATACCTAGTGTGACACCAAGTGAGTTTTTGAAAGGACAAACATCCCAATGCCTTAGCAAGGTGGAGTGAGAACCTGGGAATGCTAAGATGCTGGTGGAAATGCAAAGACACAGCAGAAAATAGTTTGGCAGTTATTTCAAAGTTAAAACACGCGTCACGGAACAAGAAAGTGCCAGTCCTGTGTATCTCCCCAAAGGAAATGAAAGCACGCGTACAAAAAGCCTGGAACCAAGCCAAGGGACTCTATCCAACACAACAGGGCATAGCAGTACAAAGCAGCACAGTATAAATACACCCAGTGGCTGCGGAAAAGTGGCCAGAGAGATGACACTGTCTGACCCCTTCCTATGAAAGAAATTCTGGAACAGGTGGCCCAGTGACAAAGCAGGTCTGCTGGTGCTGGGGTGGGGGACAGAATGGGTGCTAAGAGGGGCTTCTGGTACCAAGGGAATGTTCTGTATCAGGATCACGGCTGGGCAACTTGTACCTAAACCCCAGCACCCCGAAGCTGTGATGCCCAGTCTACTGCACATCTGCCTGCCCGATCAAAGCCTCCCTGCCCCGATGAGCACCTTCTTATGCACAGGTCTCCTAGAGGACACCCCCAAGATGCTGGCTCAGGGACAAGGCCCACTGTAGGTGACAGAGCCACACTCTGGACAGTGAAGCCCTCAGCAGCTCAAAGCGGGCTGACCTCCTTCCAGGCCACGCTGCCTTCCAGGGACGGACTGTGGCTGGGCAGGACCAAGTAGTTCTGCCCCCGACAATTCCTTCCCCTAGATGGCCAGGACGTGTGCAAACAGGGTGTGGAAAGCCCTAAGGGGCACCGGATCTAGAGCCGGCTGGATGACTCACTCTCGTTTGTATTCTAGATACAAGTGAGCCAGCCTGGGGTAAGACTCCAAATTACAGATGATGACTTACCTCTGAGTCAGCAGGCCCCGCCCGCCCGCCCGCCAACCGCGCTCACAGGAGGAGGCGGTGGCCTAGAGGAAGCAGCCCGGCCCAGTCCCCAGGTGTGGCCCTTCCTGTCCCACAGCCTTGGGGAGGGAGGAGAGGGTTGGGGTGAGCTTATTTGGGGAAGAGCTCTGGAATGAGGAGGGGCATACCGCCATTTCAGAAGCAGCAGTGCAGGAGGCAGTGGTGGGCGGGGTGTGGGGTGGCCCTGCCCAGAGGCACCCTCCCCCCAGACTTCCGGTGCTGCTGCAGGTAGAGTAGCACAATCCCAGAACCTCTCAGGGGCTCCAGAAACCCCCACCCTGCCACACTGCCAATCTGGTCCTTCCGGCAATCTTTCTACTACCTCTCCTCACCTCCTCCAGGGCACGATCCTCTCTTCTCCGGGAGTCCAGTCCAACAGGAAACCCAAAGGAACTCCCCCATCCCTTCACAGCCCCAGTCCTGCTGGGAGGGGACTCAGCAAGAGAGGAGCTCCCAGGAGGTCTTCCTGAGTCACACGGCTTCGACGGCGCCTTCCGGCCTCCCGAGGGATCCCTGGTGCCCAGGGAGGGAGGCCCCACTCCCCGTGTCTACCTGGGCAAGGCAAGCGCCCTTCCAGGCAGGGCACTGGGGTCCTGCACACAGCTAGGTCTGATGCCAGACATTAGCTTCTGCTTGTGCAGGGCCTAAGTGCTGAACACGGCATCAGGCCGGACCCAGATCACTGCAGAAACCCAGCCCCCAAAGCAGCGACACAAACCTCTGCACCTGTGGGGCAGAACCGCACCTAGAAGCCTGCTAAGGTAGAGTCACTTCCTGACTGCCCTCCTCCCCGCTGCCAATTGCTGCCTGACATTTTCCCACCTGGACTATTCTCCCTCCTCCCCAATCCCAAACCCAATGGCCTTTTCCTAATCACCACACAAAGGCCACCTCTCCAGGAAGGCTTCTCTGATGCTCCACCTTGGGAGGGACCTCTCCCAGCCCGCAGTGACACACTGCTTCCTCCCTTGTGCCTTCCGCCACTTCTGTGCCTCACCCACCTCCTGCACTGGGCAGACCCCTATATGATTTGCTACCCTGCAGCCTCTGGAGAGCAGGCATGGCTCCCCATGGTCCCCTGTACTCACTGAAGGGGCCTGGGTGGGACCTGGCACCTTGTATGGTCATAACAGCCCTGCAGGCCAGTAACCTCACAAGCCCATTTTACAGAAAAACCCAAGGCTCAAAGCGAATGTGTCCCCCGGTTCACTTGGCAGACAAGTTGGGGCTTGGGCTAGGGATCAGCTTTTATTCTCCTTTCCCTCTGTTACACCACTGGCACTGACATTAGCCTGACTCCTTAGCTCAGGCAACCAGAGCTGTGGACACTGCCATTCAGCTGGGGGGCTGGTCACGCAGGCTCACCATGGAGGACTCCAGTGTGACCCAAGTGCATTCTATCCCTGAGGGCTCTCTTCCTGCTGCCAGGGTTCAAATCCCAGCACCTCCCTGAGCTTCAGGGTCCCCACCTGCAAAGAGGGACCACAGCATCCACCCAGGGTACCCATAGTGCCAGGTGCCCTGCTAGTTACCTGGGTTACGTCTCACATTGACTCCAACATGACCTGTCCTCCTAGGTGTGGGGCAAATGTTAACGGGATGGCCCAGTGCCAGGCCACTGAGAGCACCTGATGCACCCGGCCTGCCCAAGAGCTTAGCTGGGAAGTGGGGAGGGATGAGAGCAGCAGGCCCTCCAGGAAGAAGTGCTAAGCCAGCCACCAAAGCTGGAGTCCAGAGCTGAATGGAAGAGCAACTGCTCTCCAGCTGTCCCTGACACAGCTCAGCTCAGCTCAGCAAGGGTGGAGGTCGCGGGATGAACACCCCCAATCACACTACTTCCACAACCCAGCCAGTAGGGCCACAGGAGCCCACAGTGGGGCCATGGGCCCCCCCACATCTGCTGTGCATGACAGTCCTCATTCTGGAAAACTCTTACTCATCCTCCAAGCCCCCACTCCAAGGTGCTGCTTCTCTGGCAGCTGCCCTTGCTACTCTGGGGACACGAGTCTTCTCTCACGTCCCCAAAGCACTCCTGACATTCTTGTGAAATGCTTAATCCAGTGTGTGAGAACTTACTTATACCAGGATTCTCAGACCCAGGACCACAGGCGGCTGGGGCTTGGTAGCTATGTTGTGGGAAGGCCCTGCAACCCATGGGCTAGACACACCAGATAACTGCCAAGTACCCTCAGGGCAATGGGAGCCAGGCAAAGCCACCCCCTGGAAAGCACTGACAACATGGCCTAGTTTATGGGCCTAGCTCAGCAAGATCCAGGCATAGGGGGCACTGCTGTCAACAGGGAACCACAGGATGCCTGTACCACGGGGGAGCCCATGCATGCCTGCATCTCTGAGCAGCCTCCTCCTTGCCCAAACCCCAGGTGTGGAACTCTGCCCCTGCAGGTCTGAGATCATCGTGCATCTGCCTGGCTTCCAACAGGCAACAGTAGTCTCTGGAAGAGAGCCATGTCATCTGCCACTGCAGGGCCTGAGACCTCTCCAGCCCTGCAGCTACCACCCTAGCTTCATCAAGCCAGCAGCCACTGAGCCTCCCAACCCTAGTCACCGCACTCGGCTTTCCAGACTGCAGGCACGGGGTTCCTGGCTCTGGACTTGAGCATCCTGCTGCATACTCAATTCTGTCCAGATGGTCACCAAACATGCCACTTCCTCCTGCTGCTAAGAGCTCTGCAGGAAGGGTCTCAGCAGGCATGCCACTATCGGTGTCCCCAGACCCCGTACCCAACACGTGCGGGGACATAGACCGGTCCTTCTCCACATGACTTGTAGCAGATGGTGCCACGTAAAAGCTGGTACTGGTTCTGATCTGCACCCTGCTCAATGAGACAGACGCAAGGATATTGCCCTTGGATCGATGAGCCTGCTCTTCGTGTCTCATATTCAGTACTGCAGACACACTGTAGCTTTCCCAATGCACCATCTTAGTTTGGAACCTAGGAACTGGGTACCTTAGAAAGCTAGCCTCACACGTGCCCACATGGTGAGGCCTCTGTTGAAAGGCTCATTTGTGTGAGCTGGCTTGTACAGGGATGTGGTCACACGCAGTCTGGAATCATGAACAGGTTCCTCCTCAGCCCCAGAGAGCATCCCTCCCCAGTGTCTGCAGAGGTCACAGAAGGCAGGGTGACTCAGTCGATGCTGGCCCACAGGACAAGGCAACCCAGAGGGAAGCACTGCAGGTACCAGTGGGTATAGGGCGCCTTCCGTAAGCCCCCTGCAGCACAAACTACCCTTACTTGGCTGGGGTCTCTTCTACGGTATCAAGCAAGGTGCACACATTGTTTGCTGCAGCCTGTTTCGGAGCACTCTCCTGGATTAAGTTTCTAAATGGCCACCATCATATACTTTAACCCTACGAAGAATCCTCTCCCAGTGGCGCAATGGGATGTGTTCAGAGATATGAAACATCCACACCAGGCGCAGTGGCACATGCCTGAAATCCCAGACACTCTGCAGTCTGAAGCAGGAGGATCACAGGTTGAGGTTCACCTTTGGACACCTGTCTCAAAAAATAAAAAAGGCTGGGGATGTTGCACTGGAGTTCAATCCGCGGTACAGGAAAAGGAAAAAGACCCTTCTCTACATGCTTAAGAAGTGATAGTATAGTCAACGTACTACAGGTTAACAAAATAAACAACAGGAAGTACCTCCCAGGGGAAGTTGGTAAGGTCACTCATTAGAAGTTAGGTTTTGGGGCCGGGGATTTAGCTCAGTGGTTCAGCCGCCTACCTCGCAGGTGCAAGGACCCAAGTTCGATCCCCGGTACCAAAAGAAAAAAAAAAAAAAGAACTTAGGTTTCCCCAAACTTATGTCTAACAATCTAAACTAGCCCAGCTTTGCTTCTCTTGCAGTAAAACCTCAGTGGCACTTTGACCAGTATCTTCTGCAGCAATAGCCACACATGCATCGGATGGCAGAGGGCAAGTGGGGCTTTCTGGAGCCGACGTCTAGTGAGGGCTGACCAGCAGACAGGAGCCTATGTACAGTGAGTGGAGGCAGAGCCCTGTCTGCTAGCTTGCTTCACACTTATTAGACCCGAGCAACAGAGAAGAGCAGGGGTGGGAACGGTACTTAGAGGAAGCCCCACTAAGCCACCTGTGGAAAGCATGTTCAGGCAAAAGCAACCAGCAGGTCCCAAGAGGGACATGTGACGTGTTCCAGGGTGATGCATGGTGATGCATGTGGGCCTGGAGAGGCCCCTTCAGCCACGGAGCCCCCAGGTCTCACAGGTCCGAATGGAACCATTCCAGCTATGTTCGGAACAGAACAGACCACAGGGCAGCAAGGGCACAACCAGGGAGAAGAGTTTGGCTGTTTCCTTGGCGGGAGAGGACGGCAGCCTGGGCAGGGGCAGGAGCAAAGCAGTACAAATCTGTCCCAATCCCGCAGATCCTCTGAAAGGAGAGCAGTGGGACTTGCTGAACTGAATGTGCTGTAGCAGGGAAGGGGCGCTGGAGCCCAGTCCCGGGTCTCAGGCCTCAACAGCCAGAGGGAGGAAGTTGCCTCCTGGGCGGAAGGGCACATGAGAACCCTAAGTCTGGCTTGGGGCATGTGTAGGTGCCATGGAGACCTTCGTGAACTGGTGCCAGCCTCCCCGCCCCCTTCTTTTTCCTCTGTATTCCAATCAGACCACATTGGTTTCTATACCCTGAACATTCAAGGGAATTCACACCTCACTTTTCCCAGAAATACTTCACCCTAATAAAAATCATACCCACTTTTGAGGACCAGCACCCCACCCATCAATCTAACTTGTGCCTGATGTAGTTGGCACAGGGGGGATGTATCAATGGCACTTTATGCCGACATCACAGGAACTTAAAACTGGTTGGGAAGGAAACATGCACCCTTAGAGGAGAATGATAAAGCCCAGGAGGGGTAAGAATGCAGACGTCAGCCTGGCTGGCAGAATGGACTCTAAGTCAGGATCCCTTCCTGCAAAGTGCTGATCCCTGGCTGTGAATCTGCTTCCTTCACCTGGCAGAGCAGGCCTCCTCTGGGAAGACTGAGGTGGGGATGAGACAAGCTGGCAGAGCACCAGGACTCCTGAACAGTTCTCCTAGCCGGAAGTGAACGCAGACTGAATGACACAGGGAGGCCTGGCTGGAGGCAAGACCAAGTATTCTACTGCTCTGTGTCTGTCAGTGTTTTAGGCACCACCTACGCCACACTGCTAAGTGAGGACTTACTTAGGGCAGTGTCCATTTTTACCTCCTCATAAACCTCGGGGCCTCTCTCCAGGGACTTCTGGATCATTACTATCCAAACCCTGGCTGTAAAGGAAACTGGGTCAGCTTTCTAGGAATCTGTGACTAGCAGGTCCTTAGCACCTTCAAGGCAGGTTCACACCCACCCACTCCCTCCTGTGAGGTGCCCAGCATCCCTGGCAGGGCAGAAATCACCATGCAGAGCTTCATCTTCCAGCAAAGGAGCTGCAGGCGCTGGCTGGCTGACAGAGACAGGGACACAGCCAGCAGCGCTTCAGACCGGGAAATGGAAACCGAGCCGGCTTTCCTCAGCCGGTTGTGAGGCCTGTGGACAACCCCAGCCCACCCAGGGTACTGATGGCTGATGTGGTGAAGCCGACTCGCCCCTGTGAGCAAGCACATGGGCACCAGTCCCAGAACAGAAGAAACCCCCCTACAGTGGCCACGCTGCACCTCCCAGCTCCAACCCCCACACCATCTCTCAGGCAAGGAGAGGGAAGCAAGACCCAAGCGGGTAATCCTCAAAGTGGAGAGTGAAAAGCAGACTGGGTCATTCAGACAACCGCAGAGGAGTTAAGGTGAGCCGGAGAGGATTTCCCGAGGAGCTGGCTCTAGAAGCATTTTCAGTCTGGGTACAGAGTGCCTGCAGAGAATGATTCATGGGAATAAGCTGGTTCCTGTTTTGCTCCGAGGCTCAGATCCACAGAGGCAGATCAAGCTGGAGCCCAGAGGACTGCCTGTGTTCGTCCAGGCTGTGCACACTGGGAAACTGAGGGTACTGACATGACTGAGCAGACAGCCATTTACCAGCTGCTCAGGGTGCAATAGGCACCCTGGCTTTTCAGCTCATTCAGTAGGCCAAGGCGGCTGGAGGAAGTGGGATATCATCATCTCACCATTTCCATTTTGCCGAGGAGGAACCTGGGCTCAGAGAGAGCAGGTCACCAACCACCCCAAGATCAAGGAGCAGCTGCCTAGGTCTGTCTGGTCCCTCAAATCTACAGCCCTTGCTCTCAGGACTGCACTAATCTGAGCCTGTTTCCCCACCTCAAAGAAATAAAAGGTCCTGGAGGAACCTGATCAGATATCTAGGTTCCCGAGGTGTGGTCGCAGGGCTGAGGGGGCGTGGCGCCTTGGCCCTGGCCCTCCCCAAGCCCCGGGCAGGGACCTCAGGGGGCGGAAGGGGAAGAAGAAATCTCCGCTGCACTACTGCGCGCTGGCAGGGAAGGAAGCAAGCTAGGTGGGGCAGGGGCTACTCACGTCGATGTTCCTCAGGATAACGCACTTGCCATTGGTGTACAGGAAACTGTTGCCCTTGGGGTCACCGCCGATGACTTTGGAGACGCCCCTCTCCACCTGGGGTAGGCTGGCGAACACCTTCTCTGCGGAGACACAAACGCCCAGGGAGCGTGAGGGGAGGCTCCTGCCTCGGCCCCTCAGGTGGGCGAGGACGCAGGGACCCGCGGGGAGAGAGGGGCCGGGCCTGGCCCAGCCGGTCACCTGTTGCCGCCGCGGGAGGGGCGACCGCCACTTTCCAGGCGCGCAGGGGCCGCTCGGGGCCAGGCCCTCGGGGATGCCGGGGTCGCCCTGCCCGCCAGCGAATCGGGCGCCAACTCCGGGGCAGCCCCGGGAGGGGGTCCCCGCGCCGGGCCCTCCCGGGGCACCCCGCCGCTCGGCGCGAGAGGCCCACCCGCCCGCCGCTCACTCACTGATCTCGTACGGCATCGTCGCCCACTTGCTACCGCGCCGCGCTCGCCGAGAGCCAGGGGCCGGCCGAGCCGCGAACGGACCTCGCCGAGGCCGGGGCCGGGGACGGGGCAGAAGGCGGCGCCGGGCGTGCGGGCGCGGAGGGGGCGGTCCGAGGCCGGCTGCGGGGCGACTCGCGCCTGCCCTGCGCGCTGCCGCTGCGACGCCGAACCCGGAAGCGCGGCCCCGGCGCCGCTCGCCCCCAGCTTTGACCATATATAGTCAAGCGCTCGGCTCGGCGGCCGTAGGCTCGTGCGCCTGCGCGGACGACGTGCCCCTCCCCCCGCCGCCCCGCCCCGGAAATGACGTTGTGCCGCGGCCCTTGAAAGGGAGGCGCGGAGCGCGTGCGGCTGGAGAGGGTTCCCCGGAGCGGTGTGGTGCGCGGCTCGCTTTGGGGCCTGTGCTGAAGGCCTGGGGGCACGGGGACTCCGGTGGGATGGGATTATTTCTTCGCCCCGGCGTTCGCTCAACAGCGTCGCGTTCTGGCAGAAACCTTGTAGCCCCAGTGTGGGTTTTTCAAACTGAAAGGGGGTGCTGTTTTTTTTTTTCCTCTCTCGAGCATAGCTAGGAGACACATTTTCGCGAAGCAAGAACTTCAGGCACGGTCCGTGCTGGGCCTGAGCTTGCATGTTTTTTCTCTCAAAACTTTCAGAAAAAAAGCTAAAAAGGCAAGAGCAAAGAGTGCTAAAAAACCAAAACAATGGCATTTCTCATAAAGCAGAAAAGGGGGGAAGCGCGTGCTTTTAAAGTCGGGGGCAGTGGCTCCTGGAGGGAAAAGCGAGGGCGAAGGGGGGTTGGTGCTTTAAACCTCGCCTTTTAGTAGCATGGGGATAAGGGTAAAAGTGAAGAGGGCGGTAACCCCTGTGGGGAACTCGGAAAGCTCTGAAACCAGTGAAGAGTTCTGAAGAGGGCGACTTTCCTTTAAAAATCAAATCTGCTAGGAGGCCGGGGATTTTTTTTTAGCTCAATGGTTTCACCGCCTGCCACGCAAGCCCAAGGTCCTGAGTTTGTTTGGGGAAAAAAAAAAATCTGCTAGAAAGTCTCGTTCTGCATCTGGGGCTTTAGGAGGACCCCACTGGGTAGTTGCACCTTTGGGCTACTGGCTTTGTGGCCCACACCCCTCCCCCACTTCCCCTGAGTTCTGGTGGCAGCCGGGTGAGACTTTGAAGCAGGCCTCCTGGGCTACAAGTTCTTCCAGTTGCAAATGGCATATTTGGCCTTGGGTGATACAGACCTCGGTGCTATTTGGAAAGCCTGTAGCACGCAGATTCCCTGGTACTGAAAGAAGGCCCAGGTATGAGGGCAGGAGCCCTCTCCCCCAAGGGCCTCTGACTGTTTTCTATCAAATTCATGCTCAGAGATACACCTGGCTAGCTTGGGGGCTCAGGCGTCAGCTTTTCAATGAGTGTCACCTGCCCTGGCCACTTTCTATTGCAGCCTTTTGGCTTTCTGGTCTGTGCTCCTTTCCTTCTGATGTGACTGGCTATAGAGTGGATCCCGAGCCTCATGGACGACTCCAGTCCTTGATCAAAAAGTAGTGTGAAAGTGGTTTTGTGAACTGAAGGGTCGTAGAAACGTTCAGCCTTAGAAAATGTTGAGATTCCTGAAGCAAAACAAGACCTACAAGCAGCTTGTGTAACTACTTTCCCTGAGAAAGAACTTGTTTGAAAATGAGATTGCTAGAGCAAGGGCCACAGCTTTACAAAGTTCGTTCATGTAATTAAGACTTAAGAAAACGAGAAGGCACTCTAAGCTCTGGCAAGCAAGGAGCTACGTGTGTGCGTAAAGTCTTGGAGTTGACATTGAAAATGGACTACAAAGCAAACTCAGCCAGAATTTCCAATCCCCCAGCAGAATGCTTGGCTTTATGCTTATTTTCAGCCTAAATTGTTCTGTGTTGAAGCTTGGGAAAGCGTGGATGTGGGCAGCTGTTAACTGTAATAATCACTTAAACGTTTAAAGACAATGAACCTGGTGGTTTGTAGCTCTTGGAAGAGGGACAACGTGGTGCGCATTCTAGCTCCGCCCTGCGGGTAATCTTGTGTTCTCAAGTGTAAAGAATTCACACCTTAGAGGAGCGAGCTGGCCCGCCTATTCTTGAGTCACCCTAGTGGCCACATAAGCACTTTGATAGGCCCTGAGGTGGCAGAGCCATCTGTCATTTTAGTGACTTGCAGCTCTGCACACCAGCCCGACTGCTTGTGTATTCACTGACTCCTGGCTTTGTCTCAGACCTGCTCGAGCCAAAGCACAGTCCTGCTGAGATGAGCTCTACCCTCCCTTTCCCCCAATGCAGGGCTGTCCCTTCAGTGACCAGTGTCCTTATGTGTCCAGTTGCACTGACCAGAAGCCTCTCCCAGCCCTGCCCTGACCCCTCACCAAAGCCAGTCACCTCACAAGCCTGCCTTGCTGACATTTGCACGGTTACCTCTTGCTAGCACTGCCCTGCTCTAAGCTGCACCATGCCTGGGCTCTGTAACCTGTTGCTGACAGATTTTCCTGCACCTCCTCAGCCCCTCGTTGTAGCAGAGTAGGAATTTCTCAGCGCCGCCCCCCCCGCCCCCGTTATCTTAATAGACCCACTCCTCCTGGGCCTCTAAAGCCTGGGAGTACCCAGACCTTGCCTCTCGAACCCCCAGTCTCCTGGGTGGTTCTGCATGGCACCTGTCTGCCTAGCAGTAGCGCACCTGCCATTTCCCTTGGGACTGCTGCCGCCCCAGTCCCTTCTCAAACTACACTTCTCATATGATATGCCTGTCACACATTCATCACTAGGACTACAGGACAGGATCCCCCATCCCCAGGAACATGAGACACTGGGACCATGTTTGTTCCTGTCACGAAGCCCAGGGCCCTGCAGACTGTTTGGATGCAGCTGCTGACTTGCATGCGTTGTGAGAATGGGCAATGTGAAAGCATCCCACCAACTTGCGTTTGATTCCGAAAGGGTAATTTTTAAAGAGGCATCTCTAAACAAAATGCTGCTTTTGAGGGAAGCCTTCAGGCTGTGTTTTGGCAAACTAGTTCCTTGAATTGGGTAACTCGGACAAACCTTGACCAGCCTCAGCTGTGCTAAAGAGGTCTGCCTGCTTCCACTTGGAAGAGGGAAATGGGTTTCAGGTTCCCTTGGCTGGGCACGTTGTTGGGTGATAGCGCTGAGCAGGTCGAGGGCTGTGCAGCAGTCTCCTCCTCTGAGCGGCATTGCCTGGGACCCTGTTTGTATCTCCACACCAGGAATATACCATAGTTCTGTGGACCCCCAAGCTCAGGAAAGCTTTGGGGGAGGAGCCAGAAGGCGAATTAGGACAGTTCTGAATTTCCAAGGCCCTCAACCTACTTCCTCAATATGTCAAGGCCGGAAGGGCTTCTGGGGACGGGCCCTGTAGCAGCTGCTGGAGAAAGTAACAGGGAGCAAGGTGGGGGCCGCAGTTGGAAGTGGCTGAGTGAGAGGTCTTTGGCTCCCCTGTCTGCCTTTGAAATAGACCTTGGGAGTTCTCCATCTGGCCCCGGTTGGATCCAGGGAGTGTTCATAGTCTCGTCAGCTATGAGAGGGAGAAGTGTGGAATCATGCAGGGTGGAATTATAAGGCTCACCTGTGATTCTGAAGTTGGCTCTGGGGCTGTCCCTCTGGCAGGGGAAGCTGAGAACTATGCCCTCACCCCCCCCCTCCCCGCCCCACCTTGGTCCCTTATGACTTTAGAGGCCTGGTTACTAGAATTTTGTCCTGCCTACATAAACCAGCAGTGTTAACCTCTGGATTGGAAATTCATCCCAGCAAGAATGAGTGAATTCTTATGCCCACCTCTGCGCAAGCTCATTACCAGATCCCTCCTTGGGGCTTCGTTATTGTAAATACCTTGTTTCCAACTCAGCTCACCAGGGAAGTGGGTCTTGCAGTCAGGGATACACTAGCTTTTAATTCCCTGCCAGTTAGAAGCTTCTGTTCCTCGTGAGGGTCCTCTACAGTCGATGTACTTGGAACTCAATGCTAGGAAAGACCAAGACTGGTTATAACACAGTTCAGGGAACAGGTCCTATGGGTTCCTCACCTAGTTCTGAGGAAGATCCACTGAACATTCTCTTGAGAACTAACCAGCCATAGCTGACCATTCTTGCTTGAGGGATGGGGGGACCTAAGCCTGTCTTACACTGCTTCAGTCAAATCTTTCCAGAGCTGTGGGTCTGGGCTGTTACTGTCCCCTGCTCAGCTTGTCAATCTGCCCAGCAGCTGGCTGTGCCCTCCCGCTTTGGCTTGAGGCTCTGCACCTAAAGTGTGGTGTTCTGCAGGGGGTGACAGGAATCCTGCCTGCCCTCTCCTCTTCCTGTCTGCCTTAAGTTGCCAGCACTCTGGGATGTTTGATGCTCTCACATTGAAAATTTCTGGGAGCCTTCACTTTCATCAGGGCCTTGGGTTATGACTTACCCAAGTTCAAAGGCCAGTAGGAGGGGTGCAGCCAGAGAGGGGGCCCGAGCACATGGGAAGGCTGAAGCTTTGGGACCATGTTTAGAAAATCTTAGGCTAAGTAGATGTTTGTATTTCAGTTATTCTATGTCAAAGATAGTTTGAGCCAAGTGTGAGTGCCTGTGCCTGAGCACAGACTCAAATCAGGTGACATGGGTTAGTGTAAGAGGTTACACGTGATTTTATAGCCACAAAGTACGTGGGGTTGTGAAGTAGGTGCACTATATAAAGAGGCAAGGAAATTTCAGACTCAAGCTGTCTTTTAACAAGGCAGAAATACCTTACAGGATCCACATGTTAAATGTTCTTAGCTTTGTTTGGTGTAGAGCCCTTGTCTGCCAAGCTTAGTACAGTTTTATCCAATAGTCAGAAATGCTTGGTCAGGTGCAGAGCTTGATAAATGGCTATTAAAAGGGACGAAAGGTAGCCTTCTGTTTAACTTTTTGGTCTGCCACATTCTGTCTCCACGGTGTTCCAACTGAGGTAGAAGAGATAAGATGGGTAGAAAGGAAACAAGGAAATCATAACTAAAAATTGTACTTTTAAGAAGACTAACTTCAGGAGCCAGCCAAAGTTACCTAAAGTGATCCATAGCACAATTCTTGTGGTTCCTTTTAGGCTCCTTCCTACCAGAC